ACTCGACCGTTTCGTTGGGCGGACTATTTAGAACTAAAGCCAAACCGCAAGGCAATCTCCATATTTATCAATAGAACGGACAGGCAGTCAGCCAGCCATAGAGGGCCAATAAAGCAAATAAATTCGTAGTTCGGTTTGGCCTGGCTAAAAAGATGATAACGCGAGTGCCAGTCCCGTACAAGCAGACGACATGTGTCCCCGGGCTTATCGGAGAAGGGCACACGATACGCCGTCATAAAGCTTCTCGCCCCGCCCCGCCCCGTCCCGCCCCGACACGTCCCCTCTAAGTGTATTAGTCATTCGAGATCGATCCAAGTTTATTATTGGGTTGATTGAATGCGCTACCCCCAGCCGATCCTTCGGGGGTATAAACGATTGTAAGCGCCAAAAGACCCATAACACTTTCCCACAGAGATATATACACTTAGGGAGAGCTTCACTTGCGAGGCGTATTGTCCGGCCCATTGATGATGAATCACACGGGGTTGGGCGTGTGAGGCACTCCGATTATCTTTTCTAGAACTGATTTCGCTATCGACAGATCGTACATCTACATTCCAACTATGATGATTCAGTTTTCCTGCATGTTAAACACCTCTAAGTGATTTGGCGACTTTTACTTCTTTTGGAGTGGTCGGGTCGGTCTACTGTTGATAAGAACTTTCTTTTTTTCGAAGAAATGCTAATGATAAGGCGATCCTACACCTAGAGATTATTCAGAATTGAGGAACACCTGTTCCTATCGACTCGCCAAATTTTAACGTTAATAGTGACATAGTTTTATTCGTATTCTTTCAAGAGCCAATAAAATTTATGTGTACATAAATATATTGATACCAGTGGACGCACGTTTTGTGATTCCCATATTGCCATAAAAAGGCTTACCTACATTTTCGGCACATTTGCACGGGACTTCACTCACCTCTGAAACCTTTTTTTGTGTGATTTAAGAACCCAGAGGGCTATAGGGTTGTGTCCTCCCTTTTTACTCTAAAAATTGTTCAAGTCTAGCATCTATCATGTTTGGGGCAAGCTGTTCTGTAAGATAATGCCGAATAAAAAAGAAATATTTAAAGATCAAATAGATATGTATCTTTCCAGAATACTTTGCGTCAAAATGCAATTGAATTTGAGTGGAATGGAAATTCAAAATTCATTTTTAGTTTCATAATAAATCGATAAATACAAAAATACTTTTTCTGATAGATTATAGTTTTACTATAGGACTTTTTTCACATAGCTTAAGTAGAGAACAGATCGATTTTGCTGGCTAGTGTAATAGCACGATAACATATCGCTCACTGGATATCGATAATAAGGCGATACAATAGAACTGTAACTATGCTCTAATGTATGAATAACTCAACACTATAAAGATTTCTGCCACACTCCCATCGGTTATTCAATGAAAAAAAGATGAAAAATGAAAGAAAAAAATGACGCATCCTTCGAGCCGGATTTGAACCAGCGACCTATGGATATCTCCGCTTCCAAGTTGCACAAGCACCGCAACACCATCTACAGTCCACCGCTCTACCAACTGAGCTATCGAAGGGGCACATTCGGAGGCGTTCCAAAGAGCGACTGCTGGATGAACGACGGACGGGGCGCAATCGGCATTGGAATCTGGCGCGGCGGGGGGTGGGGGGCAAAAAGTGAAAGGTAAGCGCTATGCCATATACATATTTTGTAGTTTATAAATAATGCAAGACCCGAGATGAACGAAATCCAATAAAAGCATTGTCAGCGGACGGCTGTCACGCCTTCGAAGAGGCCTTCGATAGCTCAGTTGGTAGAGCGGTGGACTGTAGATGGAAGTGGGTGGCGCATGGCGCCATAGAAAGCAGAGATCCATAGGTCGCTGGTTCAAATCCGGCTCGAAGGATATGTGTGTACGATATATTTTGCACAGATTTATTTTGCATGGGCCACTCGGCCCTGGTATCGCTGGAACGTGTGGCCGCCTTGTGACTGAACGCCCGATATGAGTGTGTTCGGAGAACCCTTAAAGATACCCCGTGCAAGCCATTGATGACAAATATTAAGCACATGATGAATCATAAAGTCGGAGCAATAATAATAATTAATAGCGTGCTATGCTGACATGTGACCCGCATAAAAGGAATAGCACTACAATATCTCCAAATGATTGGCTAATCTGATGGATCTAATACTGGACCAAACTGTAGAGCATGACCGACTAGAAGATGCCCCGTAGAGCCGCGTAGCTCTCACCCTTCACTCGATTTGGATAATTTTTGGTAGATGGTCTTAATACTTCTTTGAGTTAAGGCCTTACCAAATGTTACTTTCATATCTGGACAACTGTGGATGCCACGGGGCATGGATAAAAGCGAGAAAAACCTATGCAATGACTTCTGGTAGATATTCTATCTGAATCCTACCAAAAAGCACTCTAAAAACCAAGCAACTCTCACACGTAATGCAGAGGGCGACTAGCCAAACCCATGATACTGGAACGGACACGAGTGGCATACAACATCATGGTGGCTAGCAGAATTTGTACTCGTGGAATGAGTTTTATTGCGGCATTTAAGTCACATGGAAATGGGGTCTTTAATGGCTTACTCCTTCGTACAATACTAGTACGGGTACTACCGTCTGACGTCTACGTCCGATACTACTCCATTAGATAATTCTCAATTAATTTGCACTCACCCCTTGGTGGACGTTGACGTGGGAGGTGGGACGTTATAATTGGAATTGTAAGGCCCGATATTCTGCTGAATGGTACGAGTGGAGTGTTACTGCAGGGCCAATATAACCGCGAACCCCTCCGCCGTACAACATGATTTTTTACCGCGATTGGTTGCGATTGTGTGTGTTTGTGTGTGTTTGTGTGTGCGTGTGTGCGGGGGAGAGGGGAGATTTAATGATAACAATTTATTCCAAGCGTTGGACTGTGGTCATCGGTGTCTGCGACATTAGTGCATAATTGATTGGCAAATAGTAGTAGTCTCTATCTCTCTCTCGCTCTCGCTCTCACTCTCTCTCTGTCTCTTGCAATGTCTCCCTGTATAATCGCAATAATTTATTTATTTATTCTTCTATTGGTTGTGTGCTTTCTGCAATGTCACTGTAAAAGTTGTATAAACATTCCGGTTTTGTGCGTAATCGCACTTCCATCGCCCATTACCCACTGCCTTTGAGCCTTTGAGCCGTCGAACTCAAAGGCTAATTTAATTGTTTTCCAATGCGAAATTGAATGGGTCTGAATGATAGGCGAAACAGAAACAGGACGAAACAATGGAAATGGACTAACTGTCTCTCTCCCTACACACACACACACATATGCACCTCCATTACTCTCTTGAGAGAGAGAGATTTCTAATTGATGGATTCATGGATGGATTGACGCATGCAACCGCCCGGATGCATGGCGAAATGCGCATGCAACACACACGCCCCTTCGGGATACACATGTGTATATTTCTGAGTGTGTATGCACCGTTATACAGAATTTTATATTATTATTTTTTTGGCGCACTTCACAGAAAATATATGTACATATGTTTAAATACGCACACATGCAAACGCTGAGGCACATGTATATGTACATATATGTATGCATTTCGTACGCCTTGCCGTGCCCTTGGCCTTCGAAACATGTTGAGCGTCTAGCCCCCCCTTTCTTACACAAAACTACTTTACCGGCAGAAAATACATATGCACACACACAAAACATATACGTACACAGGCAAGGTTTTTTCTTTTGTATCTCCTTGCAGTTTTACAGTTATCCAGTTGCACTCCTGCTATCTGCGTCGTCATTGACGGCCCTAGCGGCGAAAATTCTACGACATTCCATTCACTAAAAAGGTTGAAAGAGTGGGGAGGAGGAGGGCGGAAGGGTGCTCTATTCTTAGGACTTTTGCACTCTGGTTATGGATTATTTTTTTGTTGTTTGGTTTGCTCTTTCGCGCACAGCTGTTTCACAGAGCACACAGCACACAAACACGAACACAAACAAACAAACGCGAACTCACACGGACGGGGCACGCGATCGAGCAAAAAAAAAATGATTTTGTGTTTGTTAAAATATTAGATTAAAAATTATTTATGAAGTTCTTCTAACGCCAAAAACACAACTACTGAACTCTCGGAGCTCGGCAGAGAAGTAGAGAAGCAGAGAAATAGTAAAGCAAGCCGAGAAGCGAGAGAGAGAGAGAAAAACTACTACACTCTGTTGCCGACGAGACGCGCACGGCCAAACGGCAACCAACACGAAGCGGCGGAGTAAAACGGAATAGACAAAAAAAAATAATCACAGAGACATTACGTGAGCTGTTTGGTTAGAATAAGAGGGGGCAGATTAGGGGGAGAGCAGAGAGAGAGAGCATTCTAGATGCTATCGTTTATCGGCTGAGGCTGCATTCAAATTCCAATTCAAAAATGCCGCCACGCACACACAAATTCGTTTGCAATTGTTTGAAATTAAATATTTATTAAACTTGCTAATGAAACAATTGCTTGTATATGGGGTGTGGGAAGAGGGGGCTAGGGCTGACTATATGGCGATAGTGGGCTGACAAGGTTAAATGAGGTGGAGCGAGAGCATAGCAACGGCATTCATTCTGCATGCTATCGTTTATCGATTGAGGCTGCATTCAAATTCAAATTCCAATTCAAAAATGCCACCACGCACACACAAATTCATTTGTAATTGTTTGAAATTAAATATTTATTCAACTTGTAACTCAAATTGGGCTAGGAGGGGCTCTGGGCTCTCGGGCCACATGGCGGTAATAGGGCTGGTAGAAATTCCCAGACACATTGTTAATAATGCAGACAGACACGTGCGTTTGCACGGAAAAATCGTTAATTATGGATTTGGCCCCAAAGGCTCAACCAGACAGCCGGACAGCCGTAAGACATTGGCTTCTATAATATATATGTATAGGTATATGTATGTAAGTTCAAGGGTGGGTGTGCATTGGTTTTGACCCAATTATCCTTAATTTAAAATTCGAATTTTCTGATTATTTCTTGGCTTTGCCTTTGCCCTTGCCGGCGTCTTTTTCCTTCTGGGAGAAACGATGCAATTGCCCATTCGAGCCAATGCGACGCTTCAGCTCTGAACGCATCTCATGGACCTGCTCGATAACACTATTGACATCCGCCTGATAAATGCAATAATCCTGGATATTCAGACGCATTTTGTTCTTCTCCAAACTGCCATACAAATACGAATAGACAATATCGCCAACTGGTACATAGTATTTGAGCCAGTGATTTGAATGGGAGCTACGGGTTTAATAGAGGACAGCATAGAGAGTAGAAATTCATCGGAATTCCCTCGGTAATACCAATACCAAGATATTGCATCAGGAACAAATTCCGTTTCATTTTTCGTTCGACGCTTCGAGCTTCAGTTCTCTTTTAGGCTATCCTTCGCCTCTGACGAATACACAGTCTTCGGCGAAGCGCAGTCGGAGATATTAATCATGCCCAAGACATGCAGTTTGTTATTGTATTCTCGGGCATTCCGTTTTGAACCATTCGCTTGGCGAGAGGATCGACTTTGTGCGTCGCCAAAGACAGAGACGAAGGTGAAAAGAGAATTGAACAGCTTTTTGGTCCCGTCACCCCTCATGCAACGTCTTGGTATCGTCTGGTCTTGGTAATACTTACACCAATTCCGATTTGTCATGCAAAAAGTTGACAAATCTGGCCAAATTGTCCATATCTTTGCGCAAACTGTGTGGGATTCACATATTGAAAAGGAGACAATTTTAAAGGGGGAAAACCATAGGTTCTTACTGTTCCTGCGTTTCGGCCAGGGTCTTGCCATCCCGTATGAGTCGCACCTCCAAATAGAAGCCGGTGCTGTACTTAAAACGCAAGTAGTGCAGGCTGCCCAAGGAGACCATCTCAGAGTCGTGCAGGAGTATGATGAAATCGCCCAGTTTCTTGCATTCGAGCTCATCGTTTGTGGCAAATATCACCGTCTTGCCGCAGTGCCGTATGTATCGCAATATATTCCAGATCTCATCGCGTGTCGTCCCGGGTAGACCGTACGTGGGCTCGTCCAGGACGAGTATCTTGTTGTAGGCGACCAAAGCGAGGGCCACATTCAGTTTGCGTAGCTTTTCGGCCGTAAGGTAGCTGCATTTGCGATGCATCCACCCGGTCATGTTCAGCATGAGGCACAGATCGTGCATCTTCTCGGTGATCTTTGGATCTGGGACACCCCGAATCATGCAGAGCAGACGGATGTGCTCGCGCGGCGTTAGTTCCATGAGCAAGCCCTGATGCTGCGGACAGTAGCCCATGTAGGTGCGTATCTTGTCGGTGTCCAGCTTGAGGTCTAGTCCCCGGACATAGATCTCGCCAAAGGCGAAGCCATCGATGCCCACCAGTTGACGGATCAGATGGCTCTTCCCGGAGTTTCGCCGGCCATAGATGCCCATGCTCATGTATTTGTTCAGAGCAAACGAGACGGTATTCACCCGCGATCCTGTGATGGGTACCTTGGCCTCCACCTGATCGACCAGAAACACCGACTGTTTGCATTTGGTCATGTCGGATTCGGCAATTTTAAGCTTCACATCGGCCATATCGGCATCATCGAACGGATATGTGGCAGTACGTAGATCATGCAAGCTACACACAAACAAGAAAAGGATTAAACACCTACACGGGGAAACGGAAGGACTTACTCTCGGGAGGAGTGATATTTCTTCTCCCTGCGATGCAGTTCAATCCAAAAGATCAGCAGGACACCAAGCAACCCCGAGACGAGCATATAGATAATGGCTGGCATAATGCCAGGCGAACTCCAAGTGAAATATGAATGAACTGAAGGGGAAAAGAAAGGGAAAGTAACCCTTGAAAATGCCACCGAAGAACAGGTACTTACAGTGACAATTGGGCACCATTTCGGCCATATTCTCCATTGTGCAGCTGGGCGTCTTTTGGCACTTGTCCTCACACAGCGACTCCTCCAGGCACTGCGTGTAAATGTTGCTCACGCCATCGAGCAGCGAGAAGCCCGGAAACAGGCAGGCGCCGTAGTAGAAGATGTCATTACTGTTGGCCACATCCCAAAATAATATGTACAACACAATGCCCGTGATCCCGTGCAGCAGGAGCGACGCCAGGAAGCCTCTAATCCTTGAGGCATTCACATAGAACGACAGTACATAGGTGTGTGTGAGGGCGGCGAAGCCATAGAGACCCATCAGCATTAGGATGAGAAAATTCTCATACGAACCAAAGCCACCGATGCCCATCACGGCCATAATCACCACAATGATCACCGAATAGATGATGTAAGTGAATAGATCCCAAAACATATTGACGCCCCAATAGATGGGCATGCCCAAGCCGGCTATCACCTGCAGGATCCTTAACTGATGCACCTGCTCTTCCACCAGGGGTATAATGAACACAGAGACGGCCAGCGGCAGGATGCAGCCCAATGCCAATGGAGCATTCATGTGCGCTATCTTATTGTCGATCAAGTTGATCTTCATGCTCAGCTGTGTGGGCAATGGATGATTAGTAACCAAGGTGAAATGTTTCTTAGAATCAGGATAGGCAAGTCTACAAAGAGAAGAATTAATATGGCTTTAGTGCTCTATGGATACTCCTCTTACTTGAGTATCGCATTGTGCAGCAGATTGAGCATCATTGCTGCCGAATGGAATACATCCTGTGTGATATAGCCATTCATTGTCTGATCGCCAGCCTGTTCGATCGCTCCCAGGCTCTTGAGTTCGTTCATTTTCTTGAGGTTATCGCGATAGGAACCTTTTTCGCAGGAGAACGAGTCCGCTGTAAAACTGCTCATCATGTGGCCTCCGCCCTGCCGTTTGTAGTGATGCGCCTTGGTCAGCGATTGTATGTCCACATAGCCGCATGCCGTAATATCCGGTATATTCTTCATCTCAGAGCCGCTGCCGAAGCCAATTTCGATCACATTCGAACGCTCCTCGGGCACATCCAGCATCACGGACAGCTTGGCAATGATGGCTATCAATATGAAGCTAGTAAATATCATGATTATTGGCCAGACATTCGGTGCCGTATGGATCATCTTTTTGTAGAGCATGGCACGTATGCGCTGGCGTCTGAGCTGCTTCTGTGACACCACCTGGTACTTGAACGTTTGGGCTGTAAGGAGTATGTCGGGGAATAAATAATTTATGCTAATTTATTTGAATCTCGCACTCCATTTGAATTATGCGCGCGCATGGTGTGACCAGAGTGTATGTTGACCCTGATTGATCGGGATCCAGTTCGTGTGAACTGGATCGAATGTGGTTCTGTGCGTTCTATGTCTTGGTTCCCCGATAAGTACAATTAGAGGACACTACTTTTTATATACTTACTGACATCCGGTATGATCTGCTTTTGCAAACGAAACGACTTGACCAACTTCATGTAAGTATCGGAGAGTTCGGTGCCCACAATTCGAAAATAATCGATGCCCAATCGGTTCCGATCCGATTCCAGATGCAGGCACAGCTTCTGCAAACGCGGGCGATTCGAAATGGGGATTCTGTACGCCAGAGTGTCGCCAATTTCATTCTCCGGCTGGATGCGCGTAAGGAATTGATTGATGAAATCGGTGATGGGCTCGGCGGGTACGTGCGGCTTCTTGGTCACAATCATGTCCAAAGTGCCGGTAAACTTTGACCGCAGAAAGAAGGGTGTTCCGTTGGCCTCCAGCACGCCCAGATTGATTATGGCCACACGATCGGCCACATGCTCCGCCTCGCCCACACTGTAGGTGGCCACCACAAAGGCCCGCGACTCTTTCTCCTGGTTGACAATCGTCCAGAAGGTCTGCGCCTCGGAGCCGGTCAGCTTCAGCGTCGGCTCCTCCAGGATCACGACCTGAGTGTTGCCTGCCAAACAGCAACAGAGGGCCACCAGACGAGTGCTGGCATAGGTGAGCTGACCAATCTTTGTGTTGCGGCTCTCGATGTGCTGATCCAGGATGGTCAGCCACTTGCGCTTCTCGATCTTGAAGCGGTCCTCGTCGTCGCGCTGCAGCTTTAGCCGCACATGATACTCGATCGTCTGCTGGACGGTCAAATGGCGACTCAGCCCGTGCTCGTCGAAGCGAAAGTCCACCAGCCGACGGCTGGGGCCCTTGTGCGTGTAGCTATTTCCCAGCACCGAGACGATGCCACGCAGCGGGAACTTGAGGCCGGCAATCAGGCGCAGGAGAGTGAGCTTCCCGGAGCCAATGTGGCCGAGTATGACCAGTATTTCGCCCTTGTAGATGCGCAGCGAGATGTTCTTCAGGATCTTCTGTTCGGATTCGCGATGCGAAGTGCTCACATGCTTTAGGCGCATCAGCTCCTCGCTGTTGGCGTCGACAAACTCAAAATTGTGCCAACTGGGCGATCGGCCAATGAAGACGGGGGCCTCGGACTTGGGTTTGTCGACGCGCGGCTTGTTGCGCAGGACACGGCGGCTCAGCAGGCGGCCAGGGGCGCGCCATTGGACCAGAACGAAGAGTAGCAGATAGATGAGCGTGCAGACCGCTGCCGAGACAAATAGGACGATAAAATCGTAGAATTTCAGATTACTGGAATCGTCGATCATTTGATGGAACAGCTGCATGCAGAAGCTGAGCTGTGTGTTGAAAAAGGACCCCAATACAAAGGTAACATAGTAGCTGCGAACGTCCCAATAACGTTCGAGAATTAAGCTGAATGCCGCATACGTAAACAGCCAAATGACCAGGCCGAAGAGCACGCAATTAATGGGATTGACAAGGAGTTTGGCCACCAACATGGCGGTTAGTATCAGCTCAATGTGGTAGATTAATATAAATAATATTGTGCCGGCAATCGCCTGGGCGACATTGGGGCCACTTTCCAGTATCCAAAATACCTGTTTTGATGGAGGAGAGGCGATTGAAAATAGCTATAGATAAGTGTGTAACAAGTGGCGTTGAAACCTACAATTAAAACCACGAGGGAACAGAATGTCGTCAGTAGCAATCGCAGCACTAGCACCAAAAACAGGCAGCAGTACTGGGTGCAGAAAGAGAAACCATAGTGCCACTGATGGACCATAACGCCATCCTCCAGCTGACCGGCGATATTCTATGCGCGTGGGGGTGGGTGGACAAATTAGCGATAGGCAGGAAGATACGCTACGATACGATACGCACCCTGATAATGTTTAAAAATGGTAGCAGATATAGGAAATTGTATAGAAATGCTGGCATCCGGACCAGGGTCATCATGGTGCAGGGTGAATTGGCCGCCCTTAGTCGTATGTTAAAGACCTCCACTTGGGGCTCCGCGTATGTGTGGGGATATTTGATTTTCAGCTGTTGGAACCACTGAAGAAATACATGATGCTGCAGTTGAAGGAAACCCTCGCGTATATAGAGATCTTGATTCGTATCCGTGTCCTTGGCATTGTCCTGCTTCTCTCGGACGGCGCCCGAGCAGCGTGTCAGCCACAGGCGAGCCTCGGTGAGGAATGGTTTTATGGTGCGAAATTCACTGGGAAATCGTATGGAAATGGAGAGGCTCTCGGGTGGCTCTTTTGGGGGGGAATCATGGAAAATGATGCCGGCCAGGGTAGTGCGCTCATCGAAATGTTTCTGCAATTCGGCGTTATTCTTGTAGCCTTGGATTCCCTTCATTCCCAGTTGGTCGGCAACGGCATTGATTACCAGCTCGGTAAACTCCGTTTTGGGTGCGTAAGCCAATAAATATTTGGTTTTTTCCCTCTTCTTGTCGCCCATGCCCCTTTGCGGAAATAAATATAAATGATAATATACCTACCAGACGGCTTGGAACGGCATGGAACGTCTTTTAGCTTACGATAGAATATCTAAGTCGTCCAGCTTGTGCGAAACGATAACATGATCGCGATCGCTTTTGGCGCGCGGGAACAGCAATTGCTTCGTGTGCGCTATGGGATTCCCCTGGATCAATATCATGATTATCACCATCACAATGGCCTCGAAAAGCACGCGACGCCATAGATTCCTCTCGATTTGAATGTAGCGCTTGAACAGCAGACAAAAGCTTGCTGTCATTTTCAAATTTAACTAGGGGTCGACTAAAACTAACTATTTGCAATGATTTTGTGTTGCTACGTTTTGACTATTTCATTTTTAGCTAACGATAAAAACGTTGTTCTCCAAGCATATTGCGATGAATTCTCCTTGCTTTTTTTATTCCGATTGTTCGCTAACGATGTTTAAGAACAAACGGAAAAAGTGTGTAACATAATAAGCCAGTAAAGTAGAAAATAGATTCATTAGCCGTTCGTGCTAAGAGACCTCTCTAGCTAATAATATTCGACGTAACATCAAAATTGAGCAATATGGTTTCCAATCCTTGACGGAGAACGATTAACCTATTATAAGCCAAGAGGTATTTCCATTTTCCATCGAAAATAATGAAAAGATCGGGTGAAAGATATAGTGGTTTTTTTTAAGTTCAGAGGAACGATGGCATGAATCTACAAGAAGAACTTACAATCGTTAATATTTTCCGTCATTTACCTCAAGTAGTTTAATTATTTTAATAGAGGGGGCTTAGGTTGGCTAAGTTCGGTTTTTTATCATACGAGACACTATATTGTTATTCAGGAGCAAAAACAGCAATCGCCATAGCAAGAAAACAAGTCAAGTATTCAAAATAAACCGGCTAAGCAGAAAATTGATCCATTAATTGGATAAAACTATGTGGGCAGGGCTAAATGTTCTGTATAGCTAGTAATATTCGACGGAATATCAAAATCGAGGAATATGTATAATAGAACTTCGATTCGTCAGTATATTTACGGTATATTTTTAAAATGAGATGGTATATTTTGGTATATTTGTGACGGTCAGACCGTAAATTTTATCAATAAATCCGCGGTCTCACTGGTCACACTGCTACAAAGAATGCCGAGTCATAAGTAAGGAAAAAAAGTGCATGGTGAAAAACAATAATTGCACGCAATATAAGACATATACAGGCAATATACAGCACATCAGCAGAATCCCAACATGACTGTGACCAATCGGGTAAGTAAATTCACATAAAAAAATCGCTTGAATGCAAAGAAAACCCGAAAATATTCAAGATGGAAATTGAGACGGCCTACCAGAAAGGCGAAGGCTTCCGCTCCTATTATATCCAAAAGATTGAGGAATTGCAGCTGATTGTGGCCGAAAAGAGCCAGAATCTAAGACGTTTGCAAGCCCAGCGCAACGAACTCAATGCCAAAGGTAAACTTTAGACTCTAAAAGAGAAAATGAAGAGAAACAATGAAACGAAACACAAATTCCTTTTTCAGTTCGCATGCTGCGCGAGGAACTGCAGCTGCTGCAGGAGCAGGGCAGCTATGTGGGCGAGGTGGTGAAGCCCATGGACAAGAAGAAGGTATTGGTTAAGGTCCATCCCGAGGGCAAGTTTGTGGTGGACTTGGACAAGAATATTGACATCAATGATGTGACCCCCAATTGTCGTGTGGCCCTGCGCAACGAGAGCTACACCCTGCACAAGATTCTGCCCAATAAAGTGGACCCTCTGGTGTCGCTCATGATGGTCGAGAAGGTACCGGATTCCACCTACGAAATGGTCGGAGGCCTGGACAAGCAGATCAAGGAAATCAAAGAGGTTATCGAGCTGCCCGTCAAGCATCCGGAGCTGTTCGACGCTTTGGGCATTGCCCAGCCAAAGGGTGTGCTCCTCTATGGCCCGCCTGGTACTGGCAAGACCCTGCTGGCCCGTGCCGTCGCCCATCACACCGAATGCACGTTCATTCGTGTCTCGGGCTCAGAGCTGGTGCAGAAGTTCATCGGTGAGGGGTCGCGCATGGTGCGCGAGCTGTTCGTGATGGCCCGTGAGCATGCACCATCCATCATCTTCATGGACGAAATCGATTCGATTGGTTCCTCCCGCATCGAGTCCGGCTCCGGCGGTGATTCCGAGGTGCAGCGCACCATGTTGGAGCTGCTCAATCAGCTGGATGGCTTCGAGGCCACCAAGAATATCAAAGTGATTATGGCCACCAATCGCATTGACATTCTGGATCCGGCTCTCCTGCGTCCAGGCCGTATTGATCGCAAGATTGAGTTCCCGCCACCGAACGAGGAGGCCCGCCTAGACATCCTCAAGATTCACTCGCGGAAAATGAATCTGACGCGAGGCATTAATCTGCGCAAGATCGCCGAACTCATGCCTGGTGCCTCTGGGGCGGAGGTCAAGGGTGTCTGCACCGAAGCGGGCATGTATGCCCTGCGCGAGCGACGTGTCCATGTCACCCAGGAGGACTTTGAGATGGCCGTGGCCAAGGTGATGCAGAAGGACTCTGAGAAGAACATGTCCATCAAGAAGCTGTGGAAGTAGATCGTAAACGTAACCCTTATTTTTTGTCATTAAAAATCACCCAAGTAACATGCGACTATTATCTCAACATTTATTAAAAGAACGGAACTTGTTGGGGGCAGCGCAGGGCAGGGGACAGCCTTAGGTGGCAGCCTGACGTAGCTCTTCTTCCGCTTTGAGCATATTGAAGATTTCCTCGGTATCGGCGACATCGAAACAGCAATGCCCGTCCTCGTCGTACAGTTCCAGACTGGCCTTCAATTGCAGAAGAGTGCGCACCGCCTCCACGTGCCCACAGCTGGCGGCATAGTGCAATGGTGTCTGCATCTCGGCATCCAGCTGGTCGACGCTGACGCCCATTGAGACCACCAGATAGTCTATGATGTCGACAGCATTGCGATCGGTGGCCCAGTGAATAAGGGCCATGCCATGCTCATCCTTAACGTTGATATCGCCTTTCTGCATCTTCTGGCGGAGCGCAGACAGATTTTTCTCCTTGACTAGATCGAACATGGTCTTCTTGTTGTCGGGCATCACCTCCTCCACTGGCACCGATTCGATGGAATGAACGGCCCAGCTATTGCCGCCTGTCTTTGACTTCTTGCTGCTGCTGCACTCTTCCTTCCATTTGGGATTGATTTCCTGCAACTTTTCGATATACGACCGCTGGGCATCGGCCTGGGACATGTCGCCCAGTGCCTTCCAGGCGTTCCATTTGCTGCGTGCCTTCATTTGTAGTATGGAAGGGCATGGCTGGTTGCAGCCACTCTCGGTGGCTTGTTTGTAGTATGCGTAGAATTCCAGCAGATCGGAATCCTTGAATGTTTGCGTTTGTCGACTCACGTAGCTGGTGGCCAACTCGAAAGCGCTCGCCTGCGCCTGCAGCTCGCCTTCCTCATCGTCCTCGTCGTTGGTCAAGTCGAATAGGTCCGAGTCCGAATCCAAGTCCATGATGATTATTGAATATTTCTTTTTTTTCTCAGTTAAATTGTATTTTTAGTTTTGTCGGATAACCTTATAGCTATGTTCTTTTGTTTTTCGTTTGTGGGAGAAAAAATTTTGTTGGGGGGGAAAATGCTTGTGGCGTCGCCGACTACGTTGTCTACGACTTTTGTATATTGAGATGATGCCCCTCCAGTATGTGCTTTTGCTCGTTTTCGATTTTCTCTAGTGCTGTCAAACTGTTGAAGCTCACGAAGCCGTAACCCTTGGAGCAGCCGGTCTTCTTGTCAAAGATGACGTTTGCCGATAGGACGCGACCGAATTCCTTGAAATACCCACGCAGCTCCTGATGGCCCACTGTCCAGGGCAAGTTACCCACGAATATGCGGTGAACCGATTTTCCAACTTTTGCTACTGCGGTGGCCATGTGTGCGGTGCGTGTGCGACTGCGAAAGCAACAATTTTTTTGATTCTAGTTGTCGATGATCTTGGGGGCCTCAGGCCGCTCCTTACCAGCTCTGTGATGCGTTGCGTAAATACCTCGTCTCGTCGCAACCCAACCTTTTGTAGCTTGTTGTTGCTGTTGTTGTAACAATAAATGACGGACGGGGTGCGCGGCTGTGAGAAAATAACCTCAAATTTCCACGCTTAACAGCACCTGCACATACCGCACACCCTTGCATGGGGTACTTTAGCTAGTCGGTAATTATGGTTTAGCATTGATTGCTTGCTGATGATCTCACAGTAAGCTATTTGTTTTTTTGTTTCCAATTTGCATGCTTATTTAAATAATGCATTTCAAACTGAAATAAACGATTTCTTTTTCCATACATTGCCGTGCATCGTAAGGGTATAAGAGTATCGGTGTCTGACAACTAATGGAAACTCATTTCCTTAATTTTTCCAACATTTTGCGCTTAGAAGCACATTTTGTGCCTTAACAGCACTCTCACTGCCTGCATTTATTGCGCTTTACAGCACTGAATTTTGTGTATGCAGCAGGCGAGTTCTGTTGCCCAATTGGCGGTATATTTGAATTCACGAAAGAAAATAACATGCAACGCATTTTATTTTGATTTTGCATTGATTTTCTTTTTTATTTTTCATTTTTTATCATGTTCTTTTTTGTTGTTGTTTCTGTTTTATACTTTTGTGTTCCCTCATTCATTTATTCATTTACGTTTTTTATTTTAACAAATTTCGCTACAAACTACTTAAAACAACATCGCTTTTTCCTTGCAACAAATAAACACAAAATCTTCGATTTAAATGTACAATTCAATACAAAAACGAACAATTGTAAAGGAGGGGTAGGTAGAGTGGGTGGTGTTGTTTGGGGCTGGAGCAGGGGCAGGGGCAGGGCAGGGGTGTTGGGGTGTAAGCTTTTGTTTTGCGTGATTTTTGTTTTTTTCTGTTTTTTGTTGTATTGCTCTTCATGTTTCAATCAAAGTAACATTTTAACTATGGAAGCAGTTCGTATTTGTTTCTCTACTCTACACATACTCTAAACTCTCCTCTCTGCTCCACAGCACAACTCTCATCCGATCCGATCCGATCCGATGCGATCCCCATGTGATGATGATGATGATCTGTTCTTTGCCTGCGCTTCCCATCAATTATATGACTAATTCTGTTCTAGCTTTATATTATTATTATATATAAATTAGTGATTTTGACGGCGCCTTACTGCCTGCATTCAGATCTGATTGAAGTGCGGCTCTGCCGCATTACATTATAGTTTGTTTCTTGCCTACTTAATTATAGAGTACTCTCCTTTGACCAAAAAGACACAAAACACACACATAAAACATAAAATATAAAACCGAACAGAACAGAACAGATACGATAAATCTATTATACAATTGGTACATTTGTTTTAATCATAATTCACACAATAAATGATGTAGTCCAGGATAGTGTAGTCACGTAATCAACTAATTTGTAGTTTGTAAATATATATATATATTTATATGTATGTGTATAGTAGGTATGTTTCATATTCCACTCTCTCTCTCTCGCATTATCTGCTTCTGCTCTGCGTTACATATCCATAGTATAAAACTTCATAATCATATATCATACATATACATGTATCCGTGTGTGGACACGACAGGACACGACACTGCACTGCTCTGTGGTTTGTAAGAAAGAGGCCTTAGATATTATAAAAAAATGTATAATAATATATATGATATATATATATATATATATAGTATATGTCTATATATCTTGACAATTCTGCGCGCTCTGCCGCTCTCAACTTCATGTTACTGCGCTTTTAAGGTTAAGGATCTGCTTTAAGTTTTAGCTTATGAAATATAGTACAGGAAAATACACGCACGAACAAAACTAACACAAAAATGTACAAAATCAAAGAATTGAATATTAAGTAGAAACAATTACAAAAATATATATATATATGCATCTTAAAAATACAAGAAAAAAAATGTATATAGTATAACCATACAAACATCATAATTTTGGATCGAATCGATCTCCTTAATATTTTGCTATCGCTTCAAGGATATACAAAACAAAAACACAATTTTTAATAATGAAAAAATTCGTTAATGTGTCACAGCACCACCATTTGTTGTTGTTGTTGTTAATTTCAGAAGATTTTCTCTCTTACGTTCTCGCGCTTTCTCTGATCCTCATAGACTACTACACACTAGGGCTAGGTCTAGGGCTGCTAGGGCTAGTTCTAGGCTAGATCCCACCTGCTACCACAGGCGGTGCAGATGCAGATTACGCGACAGCACCGATCGCACATCGTTTGTGAAGCGCAGTGCGTCCAGCATGGGCAGCAGCGACAGCAGTGCCGTGTCCATGGGATCCGAGAACCAACTCTTGATGGGTATGGCATTGTTGGGGAAGCAGCGATATGCCCCCGGGGAATTGTCAATTATAAATATCTGCAAATAAATGTAGGTAAGATATACACATGTCAAATCTCTAGATCCGTAATTTGTAATCCGGTTTGCCTACCCTATTCAAATCACTGCATATGGCAGACAAGTCTTTGGTATACGATCCATAGTCGGGCGTACAGTGTTGTCTGTAGTAGCGCCTCCTCAATATGTTCCGACCATTGTCCAGCTTATCCGCCACAGCAGCTCCATAGATCTCCATGCTGGCGGTGAATACCACCAGATCATACCATTGTGAGACCTGTAAAGAGGTAGACGATAGATGGTAAATGGGCTTCGATTGCCAGCTATCAGGATTACTACAACTTACTACATCCAGAAAGTAGTCCACATGCGGCCGCTTGTGCACAAAGAAGCGCACTGGATTCCGATCGATGGTCACCTTGACGGTGAAGTCGTGCGGTGTACCCGGCTTCACTGTATTCCTGGGCATCGCATTGTGATGTGAGTGTATCAGGGTTTCGTCCAGATCCAGGACCAGAGTTTTTCGCTGCACCAGACTGAGCCGATGCCGCGATACCGGAGACAGCGGGAACAATTCATATTTAACCGGTTGATACTGGATAAACTAAGAAAGTTAATCACAATCAACTCTGACTCGACATCGGTTATTTTAGAGTTCGATAAATACAATACTAAGAGTGGAGGGATAGGAATGGTAGTGGTGGTGGGAGGGCAAGGGTGAGCGTTAGCGTTAGCGTGAGCGTGAGCGCATGCTCGAAGGTCAGGTCTGGTCTTCTTGCAGCGTCATGATGAAACGTTTTGATTGATAAGGCGACCGACTGCAGTGACAAATAGTTGGGCGGCATGTGCGGTAAACCTTAGCGATCCTTCACTATGCACGGGCCAGCACGGGCCAGAGCCAGCTCGTCTTATCAATTTCCAGTGGCATTTATTGTACTTATTTCATCAGTGTGTGTCGATTGGGGGGTGTGGATTGGGGGGTGGGGAATCGCCAACGGGTTAGGTTAGTGGGAATGGGGGGCTTTGAACTATAGGCTTTTTCGGTGGGGTATAATACTTAATACTTACAGCTCGCACTTGGCGATTGAACATGAAACAGATGCATGTCCAGACTTTTGATAGCAGCAACAAAAGTGCATGGAATTTCATTTGCAGAAGGGAAATCATTTGGTAAGAAGGTTCCGTCCGGTAGCGTCTTCTTACCAAATTTCTATGTCTACCAATTTTTCTGAGTAGAATTTTGAATGAATGGGAAACACACTGCGATCGACCGACCGCCGATGACCGATGACCGATGGGATGGGGTTACGCTTCGGTCTTCTGCATTTGCGGAGAGAGCGAGAGCACGGAGAGAGACAGGGGGCGAGGGATCAGTTCGCGGTTCGGTGTTCCGTTCGTTTTTTCGGTTTACGTTATGTACTGCTGCTCTCTTTCACTTCTGGCCTTCTTCTTCTTCGCCGGCTAATGATTTCGCTTTACTGTAGCTTTTAGTTTTTTTGTGATAACACGCCGCTTTTGATTTTTGTTGTTATGCTGAACGCACACACACACACGCACGCACACCCGCCACACACGAACACCCGCGTGAAAATCGATAACAAGACTCTGCCGCCTAGTGTCGTTCCCCTCTCCTCTCGTTCTCTTCCCCTTGGTGGGCAAGGCTGCAGAAACAGAGTTTCTTCTTTTATTTTAGCGCGCTTTTTCCGCCTCTATATGTGCGAGACTTCTATGTATGCATTCTGCCTGACTCCACTATAGCGCTGATCTAGCATATCTTCTGGATTGGATTGGATTGGATTGGAGTGGCGTCTACTTCCTGGCACTTCCAACACACGGCACAGCACAGCACAGCACAGCAGTGTACAGAAATCGGGAATCGAGATCAAACAAATTTCTTAAGAGTTGCTATTGAGCAACAATTTTGGAGGATTGATTATCTGCACATATTTATTGCACTTTGATTTGATGTGTGTGCTTTTTGGTTGGATAATCTCCCGGCCGAGGTTTTCTCATAACTGTTTTGGGTTGCGCTGCTCTTTAAATTATATAAATATAATTTGTCTGTAGTTTTTTTATTTATTTTTTTCAGCGTTTTTGTTTAATAAACTGTCACACGTATACACACATCCATACAGACGCGCGCACACACACAGAGTTTGGCCAAAAGCCAGCCAACAAAATATAATTGTGAAAAAATAGTGTATGAGGACCGTCCGTGGCAGAGTACTATGCTATCGATAGGCCCCGTTTGTGTGATTGCCGGCTGCAAAATATTTGTTATCGTTGTTTAGCGTTTTTGATATAATTATCACATAAAGTTGCTACAATTTACGAATATCCTCAATTAAAAACTACAATACTAGCATTATGGTTATTTATTTATAGTGTGGCCCTGAGCGAAGGCCTGCAAAATGATTTGTGCATCGTTGGCATCGTTGGCAGCACATGCGTACGGGAGCGCCATATTGATGGCGTCCAACCACGAACAGATGCGCCCGTCATGCATTCGCAAACAAGTAAATGCGATTTTCCACACCGCCCATCTGTTGAAATGTCCGCCAACATATTTAGCCATTAATATTGGAATTTACAGTAGCCAAAAGTTGTACATTTTCAATAGTTAACCGATTTTTGTTTTGACCACATTATATCCACGTATTCCGTCATGCAAAGATGCGGAGCACGACACCAAGCGCCGTCTGTTCGTGTATGAATGACAGCCAACCGATTAATCGCTTCGAGCAGCCGCCTGGTGTAATCGTTTTAAGCGTCGTTCTTTGCAATTTGCAAAAAGTGCCAGAAAAAGAGAAAAATATGCAGACTTTGCGCAAAACCATTTGAATGCCAATTGTGCTGACGTCCAATATTCAGACGAAAACCAAAAGCCAAGGGACAGGTGCAAAGTGCTCGAGGATTTGAACAAATTATTTTCCGTGTCTCCTGCGTGTGTGTGCGTGTGGTGTGTCTGTTAATGTGTGTTGCGGCGCGTGGGTGAGTGTGTGCGAGCGTGCGTGCGTGTGTGTGTGTGTAAAAAAAAGCCGCACACTGCAAAAAAAACAGTGAAAAATTTCCTTTTTGCCCTTTTTCTCGCATTTGGCAATCAAAAACCGTACAAAGGGGCGCCCCCAACACCCGTGGCGAACCGACGAATCGGTTTTATATATTTTTTTCCCCCAACCGGTTTAGAATAACCGCTAAAATTGTGGAAAAACAGGAGAAAACTCCCAAGCGGAAGAAGAAGACTGCAGCCAGTAAAATGTCTGCAGTTTACTCGCCGCAGCCGCCGCAGCAGCAGCAGCAACCGCCTCCCCCACCACAGCAGCAGCAGCAGCAACCGCCCCCCAATGCCATGTCCCTGCAGCAGCAGCAGCAGCAACAGCAGCAACAACAACAGCAGCCACCTGGCGTCGGCGGCGGCGGCGGTGGCAGCGTCCTCGGCTCCCAGGGCGGGCTGCTGCCCATGGGGATGCAGCAGCAGCAGCGTATCACTGGCGTGCCGCCAATGGGAGTGCCCGGCTCCCCCGGTAGCATCATCACCGGTGTGGGTGGCGGCGGCGGTGGCGTCGGTGTCGGTGGATGCGGCAACATGATGGGTGTCACTCCGCCATCGACTCCACGCGGCGGCGGCGGCGGTGGTGGTGGCGGAGGCCTTGGCGGCGTCGGCGGTGGACCGCCGCAGGTCAACTCTGCGCAGATCCAGAAGATGCTCGACGAGAACTGCGGCCTGATCCAGACGATTCAGGACTTCCAGAGCATGGGCAAGGCGCAGGAGTGCATGTCCTACCATGTGGCCCTGCACAGGAATCTGGTATATCTGGCCCAGCTGGCGGATCCTGCAATGAATATCTCCCAGATATTGCCGGTGAGTGCTGGAGACGAGAGGCCTCGGCCTCGGCCTGAGCCTGAGCCTGGGGCAATCTTTTAATGCTCTCTGCCACACACAAACAGCCGCCGCACATCCTGCAGACACAGGCGATGCAGCAGGGCAACCAGCAGACGCCGGGTGGTCCCACCGGTCCGCACGGTATGCTGGGCGGCCTACCGCCGCCCCAACAACAACAACAACAGCCACAGCAGCCGGGCGGCCCAGGCCAGGGCCAGCCCCAACAGGCGGGTGGACCACCGCAAATGGGTGGCATGCAGCAGCATAGCAGCGAGCCCGGCGTCCAAATGACACCCTATGGCGGCCAGCAGCAGCAGCAACAGCAGCCGCCACATCCCGGCATGCCACCCAATCCTCAGCAGCAATCTCAGCAGCAGCAGCAACAACAACAACAACAACAGCAGGCAGCGGCCGCAGCTGCGGCGGCAGCAGCAGCAGCAGCGGCAGCCGCTGGCCAGCAGCAGGTGACGCAAGTGAGTCAGGCCGGGCCACAGGTCCAGCAGCAGCAGCATCCCTCGGCGATCTACCGCAATGCCCAGGGCGGGGGCCAGCCGGGACAGGGCCCTGCACAGCAATCGATTCTACCCAGTAAGTGTAAAGTATTCGCCGTCCAGGGGAGGTGCGCCTCCAGCTTTGTCCGATGATGATCCTCATGTCTTCCCTCATATTCTTACAGATCAGCAGCAGCAGCAGCGGCCCAACAATGGCCCCCTCTCAGGACCCGGCCAGAACCAGCAGCCGCCGCAGCAGCAACAGCAGCCACAGCAGGGCTCCCAGCAACCCCCCAACCAGCAGCAGCAGCAACAGCCCCAACAACAGCAGGGACCGCAGCAGGGCGGACCGGGCGGAGTGCCGCCGCCCCAGACCCCGTACCGCGTGAGCTACCAGCAGCAGCAGCAACAGCACGGCCACTATCCCGGCTATCCGCCGCAAACGCAGCCCCAGTACCAGCCCCAGGGCGCCTATCCGTACGGACCGCCGGCGCAGGGCTATGGGCCACCGCCTCCGGGGCCCCCGAATGCAGCGCAGGCCGGCTACCATCATGGTGGAGCCGGAGCAGGGGCCGGGGGACATGGCGGCTATCAACCGAACACTGGTGGACCCGGGCAGCAGGCTCCGCCACCGGGCGTTTATGCACCGCCGCCGGGAAGCCAGCAGGGCGTGCCGCCTGGTCAGCAACCCCCACCGCCGCCGGGACAGATGTACGGACCGCCGCCGGGGACCGCAGGTGGCCAGCAGGTGGGAGCGCCCGGTGGGCCGCCTGGTCCGCCGCAAAGCGTGAATCAGTATGGTCCGCCGCCGCCACAGAACTCGACGGGTGGGCCGCCACCCATGAGCTATGCCGGGTACCCCCCAAATCCCAATCAGTACGGCCAGGCGGGGGCTGGAGGAGCGCCACCGGGTGGAGGCTATGGGCCACCCCCTCCGCCCAACAGCAGCGGACAGTCGCCGTACCAGGCCTACCAGCAGCAGCAGCAGCAGCAGGCGGTCGGTGCCGGAGGCGCACCGCCGGGCAGTAGCTATCCGGGCGGGCCGCCGACGAGTGTGGTGTCCGGGGGTCCGCCGCCGCCACCCGGTGGCTATAGCCAGACAACGGCGCCCAGCCAGACGCCGCCGCCGCAGGGACCCCAGCAACAGCAGCCGGGTGGCGGTGGAGCGGGCTCCAATCCGAACGGGCCCAATGCCCAACAACAGTCGACGCCGCCGCCATCGGGCGGTGTGGGAGGAAATCCACAGCAGCAGCAGCAAGTGCCGCAAGGTGGGGCAGGAGGGGCAGGCTCTCAGCAGCAACAGCAGCAGCAGTACGCGCCGCCGCCGCCCCAACAGCAACAGCAGCAGGGAGGGCCGGGTGGAGTGGTCGTCTCAGGGGTGGCACCGCTGCCCACCCAGGTCCAGCCCACCTACTCGACGCCCGGCGGCGTGACTGGCTATGGACCGCCGCAACCGCAGCAGCAACAACAGCAGCAGCAAGTTCCGGGAGGACCTCCTACCTCCCAGCAGCAGCCCCCACCGACCGGTGGACCCCCCAATCCCCAGTCCAGTGCCCAGCAGCAGCAACAACAACAACAACAGCAGCAGCAGCAGCAACAACCGCCGCCCAATGGTGCCACGCCTAATATGCCGCCCAATCAATATCAGCCGGCTCCTGGCGCCCCACAGCCGTATGGGGGACCGCCGCCGCAGGCCTACGGACCACCTCCACCGGGCAGTGCCTATCCCGGCCATGCGTACCATCAGCCACCGCAGGCGGGTGGTTATGCTCAGTATCCGCCCACGCAGGGCTATCAGGGCTACAGGCCAGCGGGCGCACAAATGCCGCCGCCGGGAGCACCCCAGGGACCGCCACCGACGGGGGCCTACGGTTACTACAGCAATCAACCGCCGCAATGAGGCTGAGGTGACCGTGGTGGGGGCAACGGCAGGAGGAGGAGGAGTCCATGTCCATCCACTCGAAAAAATGCTCATGATGAAATGGGATTCATGAAGGATACAAGGAAGGAGAGCTCCCGCACCCGAAATGAAGACGATTCTTTTTGCATACAATTTTAGAGTTTAAGCGGCAGATCGGCAGACAGTTATCGAAATAGATATATATACAGATATATGTATATATATACGATACGATATATAATACACTTTTAAGGAACCTCCTCCTCCTGTCTCTTGCTTCACAAGAACTGGAAATGGAAACTTCCTGAAGAGTGAGTGAGAGAGAGATAGAGAGAGAGCGAGCGAGAGAGTACGCAAGAGTCCTGCGCTTCGGTCTTTTAGTTTTAATCAACCCCCTCCCCCCTCTATATATAGTAGTAGATGTGTGTTTCTTAACCATAAGAATTAGCTATTTACACAAATTTTTTTGTCGTGTCGTAGAGAGAAACGATAGATAGATCTACGGGCTCTATCCATCCATTTATATTCACATTAATTTGATTATTGTTTTTATTTCAACGAGCATGCCCCTCCCCCGTTTCCACCCTTTTCCCCTTAGTTTATTTGTTCTTTTCGCGTACTTTAGAATAAGCAGCTCCCAGCCCCGTAAACTAGTTTAAATATTTAAATGAGAAAATTATATATAATACAATACTATTACATTGATGCCTACACTAATGGCAGGGACTGTGCGAAGGATTATGCTATTAAAAAACAAAAACAAAAAACAAAACATTCAGCAAACGAAAAGGAAAAGGAAAAACTACAACAAATTGGAACTCTAGAAATATATACATTTTTATATTTTTGGTCTTTAAAGTTTTTGTTTCTATTTTTTTTTTTTTTTTGTATAGTTAATGAATATAGTGGAATACAGTGGACACTCCATAAGACTCTGTAAAGTTTGATAATAATTAACACGATACGCGGGATCGCCTGGAATCGATGGGATTCTATTAAAATAATTATTATTATTATTGCATTTTAATGCCTAAAAAAAACACAAATGAGTTCCAAAATATATCTATCTAGCATTTAGTATTAAAATAAATATTTATTTAGCTAACGAAAGGGAAACCAACAAAAACACAAACACAAACGACAAGCGTTGTACTGTTACTCAAAGGAGAGAAAAATTAATGATTTAAAGAGATTTCGATTGTAGGCTATAAGAATGTGTTCCACTCAAATCAAGTGTCCACTGTAGTAGTCGTCCCTTTCCCCTCACGTGACCCCTTGAAACGAAAAAATTCCATACAGAATTCTTGTACTGATCTTGTAATCCCCTACGAGATTCTGTCCCGCTCACTCGTTTCATGCGCCAGCTCGCTCTAAAGCAGGTCTAAAGCCCCATTACCCCCCGCCCCCCGACTATTGCTGCTCTGCTCTTTGCTCGGAAGTCTCGAATTAAATTATCCCCAAACCCCAACCCTCCCCCCACAGACATCGAGAAAATATATAGAGATACGAGTATATCAAATAGCATTTAGAAATTTCTATTTTCAAAATGCAAAATAAGAAATATAAAAAATAAAAACAAAACAAAAAAAGAGAATACAATAAATTCGACACAAATTTTTTAATTTATTTTTAAGATTTTATGGAAAAGAAATTTAATTTTTCTAAAGGATTCCTTGGGGATTGGGCTTTAAGGAGAGGAGGTGCTAGAAAAAAAGATATCATTTTTCGAAAATCTTTTTTAATTTATTTTTTATAATTTCTAGAAAAGAAATTGAATTTTAGATCTTTTTTCAGAGATTGTTTGTGGATTAAGAAATTGAGAGTGGGGATTTATAAGAATATACTCTGGAGAAGAAAACTCATTTCTTGAGCAAGTAAGCCCACACTCTTTTCCTGAGTAAAAGGTGGCAAATTGGTGGAAAATCATCAATTCCTTCTATTACTGTCACACATGGTTTGGGATTCGAAAAGCTTGTAATGGAGTCCGGCCTCTACAGTCTGGGCCACGACCAGATACAGATACTGGATTTGGTGGTCGTCGCCACCCATGCGGAAGAGCCGTACGTGGCGCAACTTCTGTTGGCCATAATAAAGTATTAAGATATTCCAAGCCACCGGCCAGGCAAAGAGCAAGTCGACTACAAAGCATGCGCTACCCAACACTGCTCCATGAAGCCCGAAAATTATTTCAGAGAGTGTGAATCCATCGTTTCTCTGACGGTGTGATGTGCTCCCACTGCATGGTTTTCCCCGGCACTGCTTGCGCAGAAAATTCGCTGCTTGCAAAATGCTGCATCGCATGGCAGCCTGCAAGTGCATCCGGTTGTATTGGTTGCAACCCTCTTTATGCCGTTATTCGGAGTCGAGCTTTTAGCGAACATCGACGCGCATTACCCAGCACTGGAGGAAACTTTTTAGTGCCGAAGCCGAAACTCTTTATTTATTTTTTTGTTATAGCTTCAAGCAGTCATGTTACAGCTTGGATCCCATCCCAGCCAGACAATAGACAATGGAATGCATCAACGGGAGGATGTGACACCGCCTTGGATTGGCGCTTCGAGAGGGCCTCCGAGGCTTGACGGCGGCCTACGGTGAAGCACTTTGAAGGAAGCGGCCAACCATTTAAGGTGTACTTCCTGGCCATCATAGATCCCAGACAGTCGGACATGCTGCGCTTGACAGCGATTCAAATGGATTTGCAATCAGCGATTCCGCTGCCTCTTCTTTCCCTTCCCTCTCCTCTTCTTGGTCGTCGTCCGCCTTCTCATTGGGGCATGGATCATCGGGGACGACCCCTTCCCTTTTCCCCTCCATTGGTGTCGACTCCTGACCCCCCCGACTAAACAGCTTTTCCTTGAGCCTCTTGAGGAAGTTCCGAGGTCCGGCTGATGTCGGGCGCACCACCACAATCACCTTGGTGGCCACACTGTGGATGGGGCCAAAGGCCAGAGCCACCACAGTGCAGGCCAAACAGATGACGTTGTAGGGCATGCTGAAGTCGGGCGTGGGCAGCGAAACGATCAGGGCTTCGGTGTGCAGGCCCAGCACATACGATGGGCGGGTAGCGTTGAACGAATGGGCAAAGAGATGGCCCTCCAGGGGCAGGGCCGAGTAGTTGGTGCCCATCGGCAGGGAACTGGAGACAAGGGCCGCATTGATGTAGTGGCCGTGATTGGCATCGGGAGGATACTCGAGCCACTTGAGCACCAGGTAGTCCACATCGATGGTGATCAGCGCCGAGCTCTGGCCGGGCAGCAGGAACCCAATCTCCAGGTGGGTGGGCAGCTCCCGCTGCTTACCGGGAGCGTAATGGAGCAGCTTGAAAGGCAGCGTCTCGCGGCCGTATTCGTGTCGGCCCATGGACCGACGACGGATATTGAGGGTATGCAGATAGGCGTGCACATACCACGGTATGAGCTCCTGCACCACGATTGGCAGCGGTGCGTAATGCGAATTGGTCACCTCCGTGACGATGCGTCCCCGCTCCTGGCCTTGGCCTAGGAGATAGCGATGCACGTAGATGGGCGGCGGGGCGGGCTTCAGACGGTTGCGTCGCACCTCGCCCTTGGGCGCCAGCCAGGCGATATTGAACAGCCGCTCGCCCTGGTCCTGGAACTGCTCCTGCATGTCGTACACCCCATAGAGCACTGTATATCCGCCCCTCGTCGTCTTCACCTCCGCGGGCGGGAGCGGCACCAGCTGGTAGCGGGCGCCGAGCTCGTTGCACTGCACATAGATCTTGCTGGTGGTCGCCAGCTCGCAGTAGCCGTTGAGGCCCATGCCGAAGAGGCGGCGCAGCGAGAAATCGTTGCCGCTCTGCTCGAGCAGGCGGAGATCGTAGACGAGATTCGCCGTCTGCGTCAGCTCCAGGATGCAGTTGTCCTCGTCGTAGTCCTGACACAGGGTGCGCACCTTCAGGCCCAGCGAATGGTACTTGGTGTTGTGCACATAGCCGGAGTTGAGCAGCGAGGCGAATCCCGAGGCACTACCGCAAGGTAGCAGCTTCTTCCAGGGCGTCAGATTCTCCGTGCAGACAATCTCCCGCGGCAACGAGGCGTAGCGCACAAACGTCTCCCGATTGGCAGGCATGAACTGTGGCCGCAGCAGATGCCTGGGCGATATGCTGTTGGTGTTGTCCACAAAGTTGAGCGAGGCGCACAGGACGCCGGAGAAGACGTTTGCAAGCTGGGCCCACTGCTTGTCCACCGCCTCGTCGGTGAGATTGGGTCCCTTGAACCAAGCCCACATCTCGGCCCCACTGGTTGCCTCAACGATGGGATAGCCCCAAGTCTCGTAGCGCCACAAGCCCTGCGTGAGGCCGATGTGCAGCTCCTTTACATCGAACTGCTGCAGCAGCTCGGCAATGACGCGGGGCGTCAGCTGCGTGTGGTAGACTGAAAGAGCCACGATTATAGGGATAGGATACAGGGCATTCGGTGACTATGCTACTCACGGTTCTCCTTCTGGCCGTAGTGCCATCGTGTGGTAAACTGGAAGTACGTGTTTACATGATCGCCGGATAAGGGACGCACAACGAGCTCCTCATGGAAGTGCTCGTCCTTAGGGGTTGTCTGGGCTAAGACACTGGCAAGCAGAAGGGCGACCACACACCACAGATGTACCCAAGACATCTGAATGCGTATTAAATGAGCAGGGCAGTTGCAATTATGAAATTGCGGCAGATGCAAGATGCAGATGCCAAAGATAAGAAACAGCGGGTAAGAGCAGGGTTGATTTCATCATTTCAGAGTTGCTTTGCTTTATTTTCTCGATGCATCCGCGATGGTCACACTGTATTCCTGTATTCTTTCGCAGCATCCATCTCAAAAATACTACAAAAAAGTATAAAAATACTAGACTTTCTAGGAGCGAGCTAAAAATTCGTAACAATCTGGATGAAAACCTCATATACCCCAATTTGTATATGCTAAAGGAGTAGAAATATACTTATTTTTAATTTAGTTTATTCTACTTTCATGTATATGTACATATATAGTAAATAGTTTGATCATCTGTATCTCCAGGATCGATTGCTATACCGTATTTTGTTATCCCACATCGCGTCATCTGGTCTGGCCTTGCTTTCCTCTGCGAGGGAAAACACACTAAAACATTTAATATTTTCTTTGTTTTTCATTTAAAAAAAAAAACGTCAAACTTGTCAATCAAATTGAGGAATATAATGGTCGGTCACACTGATTTCGTGACACGTCTAGCGCACCTTGCAAATTTTATACTTTTCATAGTATTTTCCAGTATTTTTCAAGACGCGCTATGGAGTCACCCTCTTGTCCAATGCAGCAATGTATAAATCGTGTAGAAATGCTATTTTGAGCCTATTTCGTGATCAGCATCGAGTGTCGGGAAAAAAGGCTTGCCAAAAAGTGCATAGTGGTGTGTTTTTCACACTGGCGCTTCCATGGGGCTTATACGAAAAAAAGACGGACAACAATTTTTTAAACGCCCACATTTCCCCTTCAGGTGTCGCTTTCGGAAATTACATTAAAATGTAGTTCGTATGTAGCAAATGTGTAGTTAGAGTGTAGTTACCATGTAAGGAAATTCATTTAGGGGAAATTGCTTTTGCTTAAACCTTTTTTATAAGCAATGCAACAAAGTTGAAAACTTATTTTAAACCAGTCTTGGAGGAAATCGATTTTTCAATCGTATAAAATAATGAGTTCAGAGCTGAGAGTCCTAGCTACCTAGTAATTTTCAACCGAATATCAGAAACGAGAAATATGATCAAACTTGAATACAAATAGTTCGTCAGTATATTTACGGTATATTTTGAAATTTGTGACGTATTTTCGGTATGTTTCCGAGGGTCGGACCGTATATCTTATCGATATGTCCGCGGTCACACTGCTCGAGTCATAACAAAAAAAACCATGAAATACTTCGGACGTGCCCTCCAGAGTCGCGGAAGACCGTTATCGTGTGTGCTCTGACTGTGCTCTCTGAATTTATTTTTGGTCATCTATTTTTTTGCCCTGGTACAACAAAATTAACAATGAACGACGAGAAAACAAGCAAAAACCCAACAACCAAACATACACGATAATCAAAATCAATTAACGCCCGTCAATAATTATCGGAGAAACGCAGCAGCGAGCGACTTGTATGCAAAAATGTTTGCTGCCTGCAAGCAGCAAATGGATGGTGGAGGGGGCAGAGAGCAGAGCACGAATTAAATGTTTATTCGAAGGAGATTCTTCATAAAATTGGAACATTTGTGGGCGCACGGCAGGGGGACGGGACGAGACGGAACGCAATGCAATGAAACGATATTTCCCTTGACTGACTTGACACATTTTCCCCCCCATTACGATTGGGAGTGGAGTTTTTCATTCTATTAACTTTTTTGTTCATTTAAATGCGAATATTCGCCACAACATATATATATATATGTATGCCATATATACGTACATATATATATATATGAATATTAGTAATATTAGATATGAATCAAAGGCTGGGGAACAACAACAAAAATGACGAAACGTTCTTCTTTTTCCCCCCCTTGGTTCGGTCGGAAAAGAAATTCGCGGAAGACACGACAACGACGACAACGTTGAAGGAAAGATTTTTACTCGCGTCGCGGTATACTTCAACTGTTTTTGAACTTTTATTGCGTGTTGCTCTTGCAGCCAGAGCGCCAAGCGACAAAACCTCTGCCTGGCGTGAGAGACGGAGATAGATGCGAGAAACGTGTGTTGGTGGTTGAGTGCAAAACGGGAGAGCAAGAGAGAGAGAGAGAAGGCAGTGGCAAAGAGAGCATGCGCTCGAATGTTGCTTTGTCTCTGGATGTATATAAGTGCGCGCGCGTGTGTATGTGAGCGAGTGTGTGTCGCTTCACTTGGCCCGAAACTGCGACGTTGTTGCGCGCTTTTCGTTCGTGTGTTCACCGCCGCCGCCGTAGACTCACACACTGAACAGCCGCTGCTCTGCTCTGCCGTGGGCCCAATGCCATTGTGGTGCTGTGTGCTCTCTCTCTGCGGCCATTTTCGCCGAGGTCTTGTCGCTGTGTCGCCGTAACAGAGGAGCGGAGCGGAAGCGTGTTTCCCCCCCAACCTCCACCCTGCATTCTTGTCTGCTGTAATCTCATTCCTTAATACAAATCAACGCAAATTACAGATAGATATAAACGAAAAGAAATCTAAAAAGGCCACAAAATCATACATTTTGCATATACACATACACATTTAACGATAAAAGAGAATAGCAAAAAACAGACAAAGTGACAAAAAGAAAACAAGAACAACAAGCAAAAGTAACGGCGAATTCTCGGAACGCAGCAAAAGCCGCAGCAGCAGCAAAGGCAGCGGAGCACAAGCCAGTCGGCAGCACAGCTCCGCTGCTCCGAAGCAGTCATCAGAGAGAGGGAGTAGTGTGGTGAGCGCTGGAGAAGGGAAGGAGAGAGTACTAACAGAGTTGGAGCCACCACGCCACGACACCCCCGCGCCCTGCACTGCCCGCTGAAAAAGAGAGCGCAGCAACAAATATAAGCACATTACGACGCGACCTACTAAGAAAAAAGGTGATTTTTTGTTCAATTTCTATCTTATTATTTACCTCTCTTGAGTTTCGTTTTAGTCTTTTTTAACACCTAAAGCCCTAGATATAGTCTTCTGTAGAAATTCGAGTCTTGAATAAAATGTAACTTTTCTCTCTTTGTATCGCTCTCAACTTCACTTCCTCTTGCGCTCTCGCTCAGCTAATTCGCCGTCGATTTTTGTAGTTTATTTCATAACTAGTTTTTTTTTTTTTTTTTTTGTCATAATCACATGTTTTGGTTGCACCCCAGCCCCACATTCCCTGACCCGGCCGCAAACCCAAAATTCAAATCGATTTTGGCTCCAAAAACATAAAAAATACTCATTTTTCGATTGTCTGCCATTTATTCGCCCATATTTGCAGCTTTGTGGCCGGCGCTCACTTTCGTTGGCGAGCCACAAAGCGACACACATCGCGAGAGCACCACACAGTGAAAAAGAGAGAGAGCGAGCGAGAGAGTAACAGCTGGTTAACAGGGAGCATTTACTTTACAGCATTGCCAAAAGTGTGAGTGAAACAATAAAACATTGCCCAACAAAAAAAAAAGGATTGTAAAACCAAAATGTGTGCATTTTTCAATACTTTGATTGTTCTTTGTGGGTGGGGTGGGGTGGATAATTTCATCTTATCCCTAGTACAATGAGAGCGAAGAGACAGACAAAGATGACGTCATGTGGGGGCCTGGGATCCGACTGTCGTTTGCGGCTATTTTTATACGTGCGAGAGTGTATCTCGCCGCGTGAGTATGTGTGTGTGTGTGCATTCCTCAAATAATTTTGCATTCTATAATGGAAAATAGCCAAAAGAAAAAAAGAAATGGCTTTGAACGGCAATGTCGCACACACACACACACGCACACATGACACATACACACATGCACGCAGGCAGACGCTGCTTCTTTCTGGCCTGGCAACGCTACCTCCGTAAACGTGGTTTCCGCCAGCCCCGCAACACACAGCTTGTGCGCTGCTACCACTCTGGCGGCCCTCTGCCGCGCTTTTCGAGCTAAACGCTTCGGGCCGTGCTGGCGGCAGACTGAATGTTTTCATACATTCAAAATTTCAACGAACGGTACTGTGGTCGCCGGCCGTCGTCGTCTCGCTGCCGCCGACGTCCGCTGTTAAATTCGCCGCATGCCTCGCTCATTTGTGGCTTTGCAGTCTTGTAGCTTGTGGCCCTCGCTCACGCTCGCGCTCTCTCTCTCTACTCTCTCTCTCTTCACTGATTTTTATTTTTCTTTGAAAGAAGTTTCTGGTAGCTTCCACACTTATTAATTTTACATACAAATTTGTGTATATAAGGATTAACATAAAGCATTTTTTGTAATAAATATAAAATATAGACAAAGGGCAGCTTAATTTGCATGTTGGCTGTCTTCCGTTTAACAAACACATGCAGCATATCATACATACATACATACATTCATACAATTTTTCAAATGAATGTACATATCTATGTGTAAAGCGATTGTGTCAATTTTCCTCGTGATGTAATAGATTTTTTGTTTGTTGTTGTAGGTGCGGCTTCTTGTTGCCCTCTCGCCCGCTTACGCCGGGTTGTTCTTCTGGCATATTCCACCTTTTTCCATCCAACGAGGTCAGACCCCCTACACACACACACACATACATACATACATACATACACTTGCAATAGCAGTCAACCCTAAAAAAATCGCAGTTTGCAGCAGTTGGTTTGTCTCGTTTTTGCCCATCTGCCTTTCGGGCTACCTGTCAGCAGCGATCGTTCTCCTCCGCCCCAGCTCCTGTTTCTTCTGCTGCATCTCTCTTCCTCTTGTCACATGTAATATGTAACTTCCGGCTTGCCCTCTCTCTCTCTCCCGTTCTCGGGCTCGCTGTCTGCATAAATCAAATGTTCGATGCCCGCATGTTCGCGATGCTATGTACATGCATACATACATATGTGTGAATGTGTGTGGGTTATCGCGTATTGCTGCTGGTTCTGCTCTCCCTCTCTCAGATTTCTGTTTGTTTTTATACTATTATTAAGTTGTTTTTTGTTAATCTACTTCACACCCTTTTAGTACATTTTGAAAGGAATTTCGTGTTTTAAGTGCCGTTATTTTACCTGATCCAAAACTATAAGTTTTGTTGTTGTTGCATTTTACAAGCAAAGATACGCATAGCATATAAAATTCATTCGTAAACCACCATAACCTCTCAACCGAAAGAACGGTTTATTTATTAAAATTGTGTGCCAATATTCATAAATTAATTTCATCAATGGCGTGCGTTGAATATTGCAAAAGAATTTACTAGTGTACGTACATATGTACATATATGTAAATGTGGTACCGAGTGTACATATGCATGTATGTGTGCATGTACATAATATGTATGTATGTATGTGGTAGATGGCCGCATTTTTCGAAAAATGAGACCATTTACATAGTAAAATGATGGCTGCTTTGTCATAACCTTTCTACCCCTTGCCTACCCGTTGCCTCCCTTGCTCCACCAGCCCGCCGTCTCCTACGCAAATATGATTGATGTAACTGTGTGTTGAGTTTGCATTTGCGTTTGTTTCCTTTTGTCTATAAATTAAGGCCCATTAAAATTAATTAAGATATTGACCCAGTTCGTCTGAAAGCGGCACAAATGGACAATTTACACTGTGACGTCATGTGCACTAGAAAACTGCATTAACATACTGTTACAATTTAGAAATCAAATTGCTTTATCTAGAGCACACTGAAAGTGGGAGAGTGGAAGAGCGGGAGAGCGGGAGAGAGATAGAGCGAACCTCGTGGGTTAGAGCAGCGATCGGTGTCTGAGCAGCGCGCAGTAGCAACAGCAGCAGCGCTGTGGGCTGCCTGCTGCCTGCCGCCTGCTCATTCAATTGATTGTCAAGTTTATAACTTAACATCGACGTTGCTGTTGCTGCTGCTGCTGCTGCTAGTGCTGCCAGAGGCGCTTCTTACAGCTGTTCTACAGCCGGAATTTGCTCTCTTTTGTGGTTCTGTTAGGGAGGGAGAAGACGAGGCATGTGATTTGCGATTAGAGCCCCTATGTGCACTTTTCTATCTGATAATTGATTTCAAAATGTTTTAAGGCTAAGCGTAAGCGTACGCGCGCACTCTCTCTTCGCTTCGCTTCTCTCCTTGCTCTTTCTCTCCTGCCGTGTGAGTTTCATTGTGGCTCTGCTTTTGTTACTCATCATCACCTGCTGTTGCTGTTGGCTGTGTTTCTTCTCTTTTCGTCCCTAGCAATTAAAACCCAACAGTGTGAAACCATTTCGTCTGGGCACAAAAAAAAAAAGAAAAAAGAAATGAGAGAAAAACGAACGGTAAAACCAACTTGTTTTTTTGGCAGAGCAGCAGCACAAACCACGTCTGTGTGCGTTTGTAAGTGTGTGACAGGAGGAGATATGTATGTAGCTGGTGATGTCTACGGCGTCGCTAACTAAACCAACACTGTGAAGACTCTACCGATCAACTGATAGGCGTTTTCTCAAGATAAACAGGGGAAAAACGGTGCGAAATATCTGCCTGAGACACTCACTCGTAGAGCAGCAATTACGATCAATATCTTTATGGTCTTTAAATGCGTCCCAAAGCGGGTGTCCACTGTGGCCCGCTATTCGTCTCTCCTCTTTGATCATTTCGCATACTACAATGAAATTTCATTGATTTCAACTTTTACTTTCTTGCTTCTAGCCGCAGCAGTAGCGCTGCCAGCGGCAAACAGCATAACTGTAAATGTTTTTGGACGTCTTCTTTGGTCGCTTTCGCTGCCTTCTTTCGAGCAGCACCAACAGCAGCAGCAGCAGCAGCAGAACAAAAAGAGAACAGCAGAAAATCTCTGGCCCGGCCCGGTGCGGTCCGGTCCGGTCCGGTCCGGCCTCCCCCTCACTATCGACGGACGCGTATCTAGAACTGTGTCAGCCATGCGAATAGATTTCGCAACGTGCAGTGAAACCACCCACCCCCCCCGCCTTCGTGGTGGAGCCGCGATTGCAGCTCTGCCAGTGCGTACACACCACGAAAAGAGATCAATGCCGATTGTCAATGCGCTGTTGTTCCTCGGCTGTTGCTGAGTGCGTACACACCACAGAAACCGGCGGATTGTCGCTGGTCAACTGTCGCCAGAGCGTACACATCAATTGAACTGTCTGCGGATTGTGTGTGTGTGTGTGTGTCCGCTTTCTTCGAAGGATTGCAGTGCAGATTGCAGTGCAATCTGATTAGCTGTCATTCCCAAACACACTAGGAAAACGGATTCGTATAGAAATGTAGAGCTAAAAAACCACAAAAGTAATATTCGTGCTGTCTCCAAAAACGGAAATGTAGCAAAGTCATTCCAACGGTAATGCTATTCATGTGGGAGCTGCTTCAATGTTTCAAGGTCAGCCACAGACACAGCGACAGCGGCAGTGGCAGTGGCAGCGTTAAGCCCGAAACCATGTCTGGCTTTGTCCTACCTGTGATTCGGCCACGTGGCAGCAGAAGCAGCCATGATCCCAGACAACGACAAACGAGCACGTTTTCGCTTGTGTATGGTTGCGATGTATCTGTGTTTGTGTCTGTGTCTGTGGCTGGGTGGCTCTCTTTATCCTATTGGAAATACTCTACGTTTTAGAAGGTTTAAAAACTTAAAACAATTATGATAGCGATAACATTCTAGTATTCCACACATTTTGAAGAGTGTTCCCCCTTTCTCTAACCCACCGCCCAGTCACCAAAAGAGGCTCCAACAAGCAGTGTTGTCCTATTGAGCGGGTAGAGCATAACTGTCTGGCAGTCTCTTCTTCCCCTACTTCCCTTCTGCGTATAACGGCTAATCATAACAAATCGACAGCTGTCTCTGTCTGTCGAGCTGTGGCCCCGATGTCTGCCTGTGTGTGTGTGTGTGTGTGTGTGTGTGCGTAGGACCTCGAAATGTCAACGACTTGGTTCTTTGTTCTCCTTGTTCTTGCTGCTGTCTTCCTTCCTTCGTCTTCGTATCTCTGGTTCGTGATTTCTTATTTCGGCCACAGACGAAGTGAAGAAGATTCTCGTTCAATGACATCTCCAAAACGGGACTTGGGGGCAACACACTATTAGGGTTGACGCCATGTACAGGCCAAGTACTAGTACACACACACACATACACATGCATATACGAATTCGTATTAAATCGTAGTGTGCAAGTTGGCCCACATTTTTGGAATGAATGCCAGACATTTCTCAGCACTGGCACGTACGCTTTAATATTGTCCAACGAAAAATATGAAGTATTTTCCTGCATGCATATTTTCCTCCTTCCACGCTGATCATCGCCTCCACAGTCTTTGTATATTTTATTCTTAAATGAAAAACTCTGCACCTGGATATACGATAATTGTTTGTATCTTTATTTTTTCTCTGGTTGCAGGCTCCTTTTTGAGGTCGAGAAACACTGACGAGAAAGAATTGAGGAATATCTTAAACCACAACAAACCACAGAAAAACAAAACAAAAACTAATTAAGGACTATTAAGAGGTGAGTACCTGCCCAAAAAGGAGGGGAATAATTTTGGTTAGCGCTTTTCCTGGGCATGCAGCATGCAGCATGCACCATCTTATCGATGCATCGGCCATGGTCAAGTGCAGAATCCAGCCACAAAAACACACGCACACGTGCACCTCTCTCTCTCGCGCTCTCGCTCTCTCTATTGCCAAAACGATGACGCACTTGGCTGCGTTGCCGGTCTCTCTCGATCGTCTCCCTCTGTCGAATGCTCTCTGGGGAAACCCGTTTTTCTTGAATGTGTGTGTCTCTGCCTGCCTCTCTCCCTCTCTGTGCAATTCCGTGGCTCGGTTCGGTTCGACAGAGAGTGCTAAGCAATGCATAGATGCTGTAATTTTTGATCGTGACTACTGGGAAATAAGGTTCGTCTCGAACGCGCGCGTCGCCAATGAGGTCACAGTGAAAACTCTGTGTGACTGTGACTGCGACTCGTGACTCGTGAGTCGTGAATGTGTGGGAGATGAGATCACTGGAGGAGGACGAGGAGTGACTAACTCTTCTTCCAACGAAGAAGAACGGGGGACTGCCCTCGATACACGCGAGTGGCTGTGGGTGTGGGTGTGGAGATGGAGCTAAATCCAATGACGAATGGCCAGGGTAGGGGGCTATAACATCCCAAAGGCTGTCATTGCCTTGATATTTTATGTAACATTTTGCAGTGTTTCCGCTTTTACCCAACACTGCGCTTGACAGCTGATGATGGCAGCGGCACCCAGCTGTGGGCGACTGAACAATGGCAGGGACCCGAGACCGAGACCGAGAGCGGGACCCAACGGTGGAGGTGGAGGTGGAGGCGGTTGCATTGAACAACTGGTGTGTCCTGGTTTCGTTTTGTCTGCCGCTGACACATCCATGTCTCTCGTTCTCTCCCTATCTCCCTCTCTTGTGAATATTGTGTACAGTACACTTTTCCGCCAAGAACAGGGCCACTAAATCGTGTATTAAATCAATAAAAATGTGTGCATGTACACATTTATGGGGTATGCCTTCTTTTGGCACATCCATTCTCCTTCACTTCGAACAGGGTCACAGTTTTTAATTGCTACTTAGTCATTGTGTGGCATCACTGCAACGTGACTGCAAGGACATCCCACGCACATGCACACGCACAGGCACCTGTTGGCGGTACCCCGTGATGTGCGAAAACCTTTTCCGCTTCCGTTGCCGTTGCCACATTCCGCACTTAACAGCACTGGCTGCAGCCTGGAGCACATGTGACTGTCTGTTAGATGACTGCCTGCTGCTGCTCGAGCGATGGAGGGGGACAGCTGTCGCCTGCAGCTGATGGCGAAATCCGCCGTTGGGTCATCTCCTCCATCGCCCGCACACAAAGCAGGAAATTTCAATTCAAGATTATTCATGGGAAATTAAATGGGCAATACTATTCCAAACAGTTCTGGATATACAGTATGTAAAGGCTATCAGTCCTGAAGTATATTAAATATAAAAAAAAAACGTCAAGCACCATCAAATATAACTGGAAATATTTGTTCTATTTGCATTTAGGAGTTAGTCATTCGTATTATCTTGAACTATCTTGGAGGGCAGTTTCCGTTCTAAGGCTTATAGAAGGTGAAATATTTTGAAATATTTTTAATGAACAAATGTGACAAATTACTTTTTTTTAATTACAAATAATACGTAATAAAAAGTTTTTGCAGAATAAAAATGCATATATGTAAATGAAGACAATTTTCGGGACTTGGAACGGGAGCCTCCCCTTAAACCGATGAGGGCAGCTGCATGATGCGCGACACGAAAAACTATACATAGACATAGGCATAGAGGAATTATAGAGCAGACTAAATATACATATGTGTACATGTATTCCAATAGTATTTGGCATCCTAGGCTTGGGCTGAGGTTCCATTGAGGCTTCAAAATGCAAAATGGGGGGCAGATAGCAGAAGATATGCGCCGGATGATAACTATGATATTCCCGTACAATTATTTCGATGTACACATACTGCTGTCATATAATTAATATTCGTTTCTTACGATTTCTGCTACAATCGATCAGAAGGGTTTTATCTTGCGAAAACAATGTTTTCTTTAGGTTTTCTCGCAATCGTTTGATCAGCTATTTTGGTTCGGTTTTGAATGAATTTACGTGGAAAACCCTATGATAAATGTTTAGATGTGCAACGCTCTTCATGCCACTGCCTCTGTTGTCGCTCTGTTGCGCTCGTTGTTACTGGTTCTGCCTGATAATCGTGTGTCCATCACTCGACTCGAAAATATGGAGCGGAAGCCGCGCCACACACAAACACACAAACACAACCCTGGACTGGGCGTATGGCGGCGTACCATTTTTATGGTTCCGTTCCCCCCTTGTCGCTGTCGAGCTCACGTACATAGCTCACATTTCGAAGAACCCTTTCTCGTATTACAGTTGTCGTTCAGCCAGATCCCCACACCACACGACACCACATAGATAGAGACAGGGAGAGACAGGGAGAAAGAGAGAGAGAGAGAGAGAGAGAGAGAGAGGGAGAGCACCTCCTACATATGTATATGTACTTGTAGATATATTCCTGGTATATCGGAAGAGATATCGTGGCTACAATCAGTTTTGAGGAATTGCCTTGATTGGTTTTTAATGCCAATTATGAGGCATCATGCGGGTAGGGTAGGGTGTGTGCCTACAACAAAATGTTTATAATAATACATATGTATGTATATTTAATGTGCCTGCCTTCTCATAGATTTATTCAAATAATGAAACGAACGAGCCAGCGGCCAAAAATCAACAGAACACGGTAGAAATAAACCAATAAAAACCATGCCCGACGAATGGGTGGGCAAACAGTCGTCGTCGTCGTCGTCGTCGTTGCTGTCGCTGTTGTCGTCGTCGTTTCTGTGGCGGCCTTGAACCTGAATTTCGCAGTTCATTTGCGTCTCGGCCGCTCTTTATTGTTGCCTGCCTTCAATTATTAATATTAGTATAACGCCTTTTGTTTAATACACCCATACACCCATTCTCTGCTACTCTCCGTCTGTCTTCCTCTCGCGCTGAACAGAGTTCGTGTACCTCCGCTGATAATTGTAGGGCCATATGTCCCAGGGAATATCCAAGAACCAACCGAGGAGCGATTAAAATCGATCTATCTATATATTATATTTGGAAGGATCTAGGATCTCTGATAACACATCAGTACCGAGCGAGGGGCGCTGCTGCAAGACACGTGATACATTATGCCCTCGCTGATAATTGTAGAGCTTTATCCCAAGGGGTATATGTACGTACATTACTTGGAAGGTCTAGCGTCCTGCGATCCGATTGCAAAACCAACCGAGGGGCGCTGCCGCATAGTGCGTTTTAGCTGTTATCCTACACGGTTTTCTTTTAGTTCTTTTTGTTGTGGTGCCTTTTGCGTGTGTGTCTGCCTACGTTTTCGTTTTTTCACACATTTTTCCCCTCTTGGCTTCTCGCGCACCTTTGTCTCCACTGGGTTTTGTGTGGATGTCGCGCCTCTTGGGTTAACGAACTGCATTTACCATACGATACGAGAACATTATATGTATGTACCATATGTATTTACCCCCGTGTGGACGGACATATCTAGGGGTGTCTGCCTCTGGCTCTGGCTCTGGCTCTGTTACTGTCTCGGTCTCTGCGTGAATTTTAAATTCAATTTCGTTTAAAATTTTTCGACTGCACGTCTGCACGCCTGCATGTAGTACATACATATGTATGTTTATTTATTTGAAGCATTATCAGAATTCCTGCCCCCATGGATGCATTGCTAGAATGATTTTAATTTCGATTTCAACACAAAAACATTTGGGTGAAATCATCGAATGCTTTGTAGGATTTTTTGTGGGTACATTTTTAAAATATTTAGTACTCGAATTCGAATTTGAATTCGATTCCTCGTTTATTGAAATTCAAGCAATGGACGACGGCGCAGCATTATTTGCATTTATTGTGCATTTGTGTGTTCCCTGTGTTCTCTCGCTCGATTTTATAGCTTCCTATTTTTGACCCACGCTGTTGTCGAGCTGTTAAAAATAGCCAACGATTCCGATTCCGATGCCGATGCCGATTCCGATGCTGATGCCGTGAGCCGTGGCCCAAACAAAGCGTCTCAAAAAATGTGACTGCGTCATTTGAGGAGGGGCAACACTGACACAACGCGCACATGTATGCAGTACGCTACGTGCACACACTGGTATGGTGTGGTCTACGCGATGACGCACCTGTGCCAAAAGGGCAGTTCTCTCGTAGGCTTTCGTCCTGGCCTTCCTCCATGAGATACTCTCCGAAATGGTAATATCCATAGGTATCTAAAGCTCCAAATGGTATCATCTTTAGATCAAAATACTAAGCAAATACGAACGAGCACAATCAGCGAATCATTTGTTTTTTTCTGATATTTGATTCATTACAAAAAAAATGTCTTTATTTTGCGCAAAATAAAAGTGTTTATCCAGGGAAAATGTGTGTGAATACTAAAATAGAGTTTAAATTTCTGCTTTTGTGGGTCACCTAGAAACTGGAGACACAGACAACACCCACACCCACACCCACGCGCACGAAGAACACTCTTCGGGTATAAATATGCGTCGGCGTCGTCGTCGTCGTCGGCGGCGTCTTTCACTTTCATTTCGTATACGAATGACAGGCGTTGTATGGAATACCCTCACTTTTAGAACAGAAACAGAATGATAATAACGACCCAGAATTGATTCCGTATAGAATGTTTATTTTCCCTATAATTGGAGAGTTTAATCTCTTGACGATTTCCCATTAATTCTGTATCGCATTACTGGATTTTCACAATGAATCACTGTAAAGCGATCTGCAGTTGTTGGGGTGTGGGGGCGTGAGACACAATCTACATCGTCTGTACATAAATACATCCGGCCAAGCGGCCCAACAACAACAACAACAACAGCTTATGATATATTTGTTATCTGTCTCTCTTTCTCTCTCTCTGGGTGTCGAACTTGCAACCGGAAAGTGTTCGTGGAATTATGAGAATTTACTGACAAAAAAAAATTGTATTGCCAGAGAGGCACCGGATATGTCTAGAGGGGGATTGGGGACTGCACTTTTCATGGGGGAGTGGAAAAACCTTGACTTTTTCGCACTGTGTAAAAACACTGATAATTGTACAACACTGGATGTTGTAATCAGCTGAGAGCAACAAGCAGTTCATTCATATATAGAACCCTAGTTGCATCTCCCTGCCACCATAGTCGTTCTTCATATATCGGCTCCTATATATACATATGTTATGTATAGTCGTAGTCGTGTGTTCTCTCTTTTTTTTTGTTTTTTTTTGAATGTTTTGTTGTCCTAGATGCCAGGGAATCCGGGTCGAGGTCCCATCTCTCGCTACTCTGCCAGAGAAATAATATTTCCGTCCGTACCATATGTATGTACATATGTGTGTGCGTGTATAATCTTTTAATTTATGGCAATTTGCTAATTTACAATAACAATTTAATTTACACATTGCTCCAAAAATAGCACAGCTTCTGTGTCTGTTTCTGTGCCTGTTTCTGCTGCTGTTGCAGTTGCACTGCTTTGCTTTGCACTGCTTATTCTGCTATGCCGCTGCCGCTGCCGCTGCCAGAGCAAGCGAGATGGCCAATGTGCAGCAGCACAAGCAATGTCAGGGTGCATTTTATTGCAAGGTGCGACACTCATCCTGTTTTGAAGCAAATAGTGTGGGGCGAGGGCCTCACCTTTAATTAAGCCACTTTGCGTGCATGCGTTTGATTTGTTGATGCTTGAATGACGGTGACTGCTGCTGCGTCGACGCTGTGCCCAATTGGCAGTGTGTGTGTGTGTGTGTGTGTGTGCGTGCCAGTTTTTCGAATGTGCGTCCTTGACCGAGAAGCTGCTGCTGTGTGGCGCCTGCAACTCCCAAAAACACCTCGCCCCACGCCCCCTCATCAGCTGACGATCCTAGCAGTTGTTAACAGTATGTATGTACATTATGTTATCAAAGCCCGCTCTCTTCGCTTTGAACAGGCGACAGAACTGTCCCGCACTAAGTAGCTAATGCAGATTACCGAGCTGTATTTTCGAGTGAAATATAATCCTCCGTTCCAGCTGTCTGTTAAGCAGAGGCTTACAGCGTACGCAGCTGTTATTAACAGCCCACAGCTCACAGCATACGCAGCTGTTATTAACAGCCCACAGCTCACAGCATACGCAGCTGTTATTAACAGCCCACAGCTCACAGCCGCTTCTGGCTTAACAGCATTGTTAACAGCTTGCACTGCTGCAATTGCAGTAACATTACAGTGTTGACAGGCGACCCTGATGTCAGGTGGCAGGATATCGATACGATAAAACGATTGACCTGACGGACCATCAAACGATATTGACCAATATTCTGTCAAAATATGTGACTTTCAGAATTTCCTTTGCTGCTTTGCTGCCGGGGGGCGCTTCGGAAAGCAGTAACTAATTAATTAATTAATTAAACAAACAACTAAACAATACATTTTCGGCTCTACTATCTATCGATCTACTTGCAGACTGCTAAAAGGAACAACAACTCTACAGATAAACAACAACAAAAACCCCAGGAGAAGAAAGACTAGAATTAATCATAATACCAATAGTTTAACAAAAAAAAAAAAAAAAAACAAAACCACGAGAGACAAAAACCCATACACACACACACACACTCACACACACCACCACATAAAAAGTAATTGAAAACTTAATTGCAAATTCAAAAAAACAAAAGAAAAGTATTTTCGGACAAACAGACAACCGGATACCGACTATTATTATTATATTGAACGCTTAGGAAGAATCACTTTTAGCCTTATATACAAAACAAAAAACGGAAAACAGAAAACAAACAAAATCCAAGCAACAAACAAAGTATACGTTTAAGGGGGAGAAATAGATGCCTAAGGTTCAAGATTCAAGATATTTAATAATTCAAGAAACAAGAAACATTGTCAATATGGCCGATTCGTAAGTAGAGAGCGATCGAAAGAGAGAGACGAGACACCCACACAGACAGATAGCCAGAGGCAGATCCACAGATCCACACGCTACAGATCCCCACACAGTCGTAGAAATAATTAGAAAACCGCAACAAAAAACCATAACAACAACAACAACATTAATCGACAACCAACTCTTGCAGAAGGGATAACGTTTCGGGACCAGGCACTAGCCCGGCAAACGGTAAGAAAAAAGTACATTCAAGAACATCCCATAGATTAATAGAACATCCAATTTTGTTTGTTTGTTTTTGCATTAAAGGTACCGCCAGTCCGAGCGTCTATCAAGGCCGGCCTCCTTCTGGGAGTTCTTCTGCTGCTGACATAGTCCCCAAGGTTGAGATCAGACAAGATCTGAAGCCATTGCCTCGCATCAAACTAGCTCTAGTGAACGACGGAGCCAGCGAGCCCCCGACGAGAAGCGAAGGAGGAAGCCAGCGAGGAGGAGGAGCAGGGGAACGTGGCTCTCCACGGATCTACGATATTGGATTGGGATTCGAACACGTGTCTTTAAACGGAGCACAGGAAAAAGAAGTCCATCCGGGCGTCCTCTACGAATGCTTGAGCCCAACGACCGGCACTATAACCTACAGTAAGCGAGATCCCGACGACCAGAACGGAGAGAAGGAGTCCACCAAGGCGGCTAAGTCGCTAGAATATCTGACGATACCACAGCTGCTAGACCTTTGCGTGAAGAAGCAGGCCGAAGGGCACGGATCAGAGATCTTGCGGGTGCTCGACCTGCGCACCAAGGAGACGAAGCAGAGGGACGCAGAGCGAGCCCTACGCCATAAGGAGCACTTGCGGGAGCTAGCGCGCTGCCAGCAGCGGCAAAGGCAGAAGGCGCGAGCCCAAGAGCAGCAGTGGCTCGGTAAGGAGAGGCTCAGGAAGAGACAGCAGGACGAGGACAAGGCCGCGAAACAATTGGCGACGCTGAGGAAGGACATTGAGCACCAGATCAAGGTGCAGAAGGACTCGGAGGCGAAGTGGAACCGCATAAAGGCGGAAAGGGATCGAGAATTAGAGCGGCAAGCTGTGTTAAGAAAGCGCGGGCAGAAAGACCAACTGGAGAAAGACGAGCGGCGGCAGAGACTCGACGTGATCAGGCAGATAGAAGAGGAGAGGGAGCTAGAGAAGCGCCAGGAGGAGAAGTTGGAGCTGGAGCTAGAGCAGCAGAGGGAGAGATTCATGCAACACCAGAAGCTGCACACAGAAGCCCTCTACAGCCATCTCCTGTTCGGAGATCTCTATCCGCAGGAGTACAGCAGCAACAGCAACAGCAACAGCAGCACCAGCACCAGCACCACGACGACCTCGTCGACGACATTCCCACACACAGCATCCTTCTGTTCGTCGCTGATGCAAAACGAAATGGTTAGCATACCGATGGCCAATCTGAATGGCGGCCTCAAGGCGGCGTCTGGACCGGCCGGTGCCTCGGCCACTGGCGGTGGCGTGCGATACTTTTCGCAGTTTAGCAAATCGGCCACTGCCAGCACGACCACGATGGTGCACCAGCAGCAGCACCAACAGCACCAACAGCCCCAGCAGCAGCAGCAGCAGCAGCTGCTGCAGCGGAAGCCAACAGCCAATGGCGATCTCCACGCGAATGGCAGAGTGGCGGCTATCGTTCCCAATGGGATGCGCATCAAAACGGAGCAACAAGATATGCTGCTGGAGTCCCTTACTGTGATCAAACCAGATGTGATTACCAAGACGGAGGCCACAGCAGCAGCAGCAGCAGCACAGACACCACCGGCAGTGGCACCGGCAGCAGCAGCAGAGCCAATAGAAGCTGCTCCTGTCTCAGATGCACCATTGGCGCTGCTCAGCAACCAGCAACAGGCAGCAGCAGCAGAGGCAGACGACCCAGAGCTGGACATTGTGATCAACAATGTGGTGTGCTCGTTCAGCGTGCGATGCCACCTCAAGCTAAGGGACATTGCGTTGCGCGGCTGCAATGTGGAGTACCGCAGGGAGAACGGAATGGTAACCATGAAGCTGCGACGTCCCTATACGACGGCCTCCATTTGGTCATCGGGTAGGATCACCTGCACAGGGGCCACCTCTGAGATAATGGTAGGTGCAACCCAACGGAATGCAGCAACTGCCGAGCAAGTCCCTTATCAAATCTCAATTCTTTATTCGTTTCAAAGGCCAAGGTGGCAGCCAGACGGTACGCCCGGTGCCTGGGTAAACTCGGTTTTCCCACACGCTTCCAGAACTTTCGCATCGTGAATGTTCTGGGTACCTGCAGCATGCCCTGGGCCATTAAGATTGTCAACTTCTCGGAGAAGCATCGGGACAACGCCAGCTACGAGCCGGAGTTGCATCCGGGTGTCACGTACAAGATGAAAATGCCAAAGGCCACGCTGAAGATCTTCTCCACGGGAAGCATTACAGTGACAGGTGAGTCTCTCTTTGGCTTTGGCTTTGGCTTTGCCTTTGCCTTTGGCGTTGGCTCTCTCGCCTGAGATTAAAACTTATCCGTTTTACAGCCGCCAGCGTGAATGATGTTGAATCCGCCATACAGCATATCTATCCACTGGTCCATGAGTTCCGCAAGCAGCGATCGCCCGAAGAGCTGCAGCATTTAAGGGCTAAGCAGAACAAAAATGCCGGAATAACTGGCACCCCCGCCGCCGCCAACAACATCACCGATGCCAGCGAAGCCCGGGTACTGGAGGATCAGATCCTCACGCAGTCGAAGACTCAGTCGCGCAGCGATATCTTGGTGAATGCCACCGCTGCCCATAGCAAGTCAATACCTGGCAGTGCGGCTGGGGATCTGGTTAATGCAGCGGTCTGCAATGTGCAGCGGCTGAAGCAGATCGAATCGTATCGCCAGCTGTCGAGTCAGACGCAGGAGGAGCGCCGCCATATACCCTTCCCCAGGGACAAGTCGGAGGCAGGGCTGTTCCCCCATTCGACACCCAGGTCGCCACCGGGCGACAATATCTGTGCCAATGCCCGGCGACGGGCCACCGAGTGCTGGGCCACCAAGCTGCAGAACAAGCGGCCGCGTTACAACGATCCCAGCTTATTGGCGGCGGGCAAGACAACGACATCGACGAGCTCCATTGCCCCCTCCACCGCCTCCTCCTCATCAAATCCCGCCATCCAATCCACCACCACTATCAGCACCACCAGCGCTTCCGCCACCACCATTACGGGCCCCATTCTGCCGCTCTCATCGCTAACGCCCATTGGGACGATCAGTGGCAGCAGGCCATTTGGCCTGATGGCCGCACGCACAATGATCCCAGCCACGGGGACGATTATCAAGATCAAGCAGAGCTGCATTAAGCCACTGAATCGCAATGCTCTGGCCGCATTCACCGCTGCCTCCAGTGGTAGCATCGCTACCGCCGTCAATGCCACTGCCACAGCCACAGCCAACGTTGCTGGTGGCTCTGCTGCTTCTGCTTCTGCCGTCACCCTAGCGGCGATCAAGAGGGAGCGGCAGTTCAGCAGCAACTCGGATTTGGATATTGAAATGGGCTGGCCATGATGTGGGATGATTGAGTGATTGACCAGAGACAGACACGGAGATGGAGAGACGAGAGAGAGACAAAGCGAAAGAGATAGTGAGAGAGGGAGAGAGGAACAATATATCGTCGTTGCCTATGCCAAAATATATAGAAATTAGAGCAAACCCCAAACAAAATACAACAACACAAAAACAAACAGAAAAACACAGAGACCGAAAGAAAAGAAAAGGACGAGATCGTTTCTTTCAGTGTTTCTTGAACTTCATTTTCGATTCGATTCAATTCATGTCTTGTGTTGTTCTCTGCATTTAAACGAAGGAAGGAAACGGAGGACACAAACGCAGAACGAGAATCGCGACTAAAACAAGAGCCAAAAATGTAATACTAAGGTGAGTTCTTCCCCCCGTCGCTCCTCCAATTGGCATCCATGTGCTCACCATCTTCTTTTGCAGATTTATGTGTAATTTCATCCCCCAATCAACAACACACAATCCCACAAGAAAAACAGAGATCAGAGAATGGTATTGCACGTACCATGCGCATCCCACAAGAAAAATGATCCTAGATATAGAATTAAATTTCAACAAATAGGCAATATACGGTTTATATTCTAATATATATTCTATAATACGTAGACATTCAGTTACGTAGACCCCCCCCGCCCCCCCAACCATATGGCTTAGTTTTTTTTTTTTTTGTATTTAGTTATATTTGAACAAACCACCGCCTAATGAAAATGAACATACTGTAAAATGAATCAGATACATCGTATATAGCCAGAAAGAGAGAGAGAGAGAGAGAGAGAGAGAAGCGGAGACGTAGAGTGAGTGGAAGAAGGAAAACATTCAGTCAGTCACCCCCCCCTCACAGCCTTAAACAATAAGCAATAGGAAGTATAGAGAGGAGTAAAAGGCGCACTCAGTGCCTTTAATCAAACACACACATTTGAAACGATTTTGTAAGCCTTAAACCAATCCAAAAACAAACAAGCAATAGAAGCACTCAAGTGCCTTCCAAAAGAATTAAATACGAGACACGCTCACACACACACACACGTTCAAATCATCAGTCAGTCAGTCAGTCAGTCAGTCAGTCAGGCCGTCGGTAAATTGATTTGTTTTCCTTCTTCGAAAGAGATTTCTCCGAAGAGGGGGGGTTCCCAAACACACACACAATTTAGTCTAATTTCAAAAATAATAATATGAATTAAAATATAAATATATATAATTTTTTTTTATTGTTTTGTTTTCACTTTAAGTTCAATTAAGTAATCTTAAGGGCATAAAGCTTCTATCGAACATTCAGATGTTATGGTAGGAAAAACAAAAAAATGTTTCGATTAACACACACATGCATACAATAATACATACATATATATATATATATATATATATATATATATATATATATATATATATATGTGTGTGTGTGTGTGTATATATTTACTATATGCTAAATACATTTAAGCATACGAAACACACCTATATCTGGTCACTTGTAAACCAATAACAAGCAGAACTAATGCTATAGCTGTAGAACTATAGTATAGTAATATTTTTAATTATTTGTAACACACACACACACGCATTATACTATATAAACACACATATACTTTATACATTGCATACACACACCACGAAACACAAAAACACAAACACACACACACACACACACACACAAAATGAAAGGAAACAAAAACAATTATCATGATAGCCTTACACTCAAAGCTTACAAACAGATGACGATTACCGATTACCAACTACCGACTATCGATTACCAATTAACGATGGCGGACGATAATTCTAAGTGTTTATTCTTAATACAATAAGTTTTTTTCTCCTCTTAAAACTATTATCGCATAGGTATCCCAAAACACAGATACAAAAACACACAAACACACATCAATATACATATATTGAACGATAACCAGATATATTTATCGATATATATTTTTTCTTATTTATAATGCAAAACCAACTTAAGTGTAGATTTTAGAAACTTGTTCCTGTGTTGTTAACAAATTGAGAAATGAGAAAGCAAAAAGCATGCATACATTTAGTTGAAGCATGCACACACACACACACATCCACACACAACATGCATACGTACACATGTACATACTATAATTAAGAAATGACAAACAAACGAAAAGCAAACCAACAAATACGAATCGTTAGCAATAATAAAACAAAGCAAAATAAGGATTATCTATCATGTTCTTTCGAGCAGTGTAAGAAACACACAAACAACACAAAAGCAAGCAGAGCCAAAGCAAGCAGTCGAAAGCAAAAACAAAGCAAACATATAATAAAATAAAACCAATACTCATGACAGGCCGGCAGCCCCGCCGCCGCCGCTGCCGTTGTATACCACCACCATAAGTAGTCCTGTAAATAGACTTTTTTTTTTTAAATGCGATTATGTCGTGCCTTCAGCCTTCGACAAGCAGTTACCAGTTAAGCAGTAAAACCGTAAAGCCGTCAGGCAAGCAGTGTAGACAAAAAAGAAACAAACGAATGAAGAGAAAAGCAATCCACTAGCCAATTGTACAATCAATCAATCATTGAAATAGAACTCGCAGCACCCTCCCGAATACATTTGTTGGAATGGAATGGAATGGAATGGAGTGGAACGGAATGTGTGGGGTATGGGGTATCAGAAGATCAACTAGGCATAGGATTTTTGTAAGAACTGCATCAGTTTCTCTATACTATATAAGCAACATAATCACACCCTCGAGGGACCTTAGACATATGAGACCCCCAAAAACGACTATACATATTTCTGTTGTTATGCTTTTCATATCGTTCACACCTTAAGCATGATCAAGAAAATCATACTTCATTTGCTAAGAAAACCAAGAACTAACAATCCAATATATGTAGAAATGTTTTTACATCGGAATATGCCTTTAGGGAACAAATTGCAACAGAACGAGATGGAGATGTGAGTGGGAGGAGCGACTAGCGAGTAGCGAGTAGCGAGAAGGAATGTTGTAAACAATTGCAAAATCGAAGTGCTTGAAATTTAGAATCTAAGAGTAGATCTTAAGCTAGAACGAAACACACACAAAAACCAACAACCATTAACCATTAACCAATTGAAAATGAAACAAAAAAAAACAAAACAGAATACTAATGTCTAAGCCAAAATGCATATAGCAATTTAAGAACTAGAATCCTGGAAGAGTAAGCCCCTAAGGATCCCCGAGATACCCGCAAAATCGATCTGTGTGTAGATAGATAGAAGAAGAGATAGAAGATAGAAGGGCAAGACAACAAATATTACAAGAAAGTTGAGATTCTTATCGAAAGGTGTGCATATATGACATATGACATACACTTTAAACTGCCTTTGAAAATAACAAAAACAAAAGCCTAGGATTATAGGAAATTTATGAAAGAAACTAATTATATACACACGACAAATATGAAAGAAAGAAAATTAAATGAAATGAAATGCTTAGCAGAACGGAGCAGATGAGTGGTGAATGATGAATGATGAATGATGCTTATGATTATTGAATTATGTATGTAGCTATGACGACCCCGAGTATGACAAAAAACCGTACTAATTTTTTGTGTTGCTATTTTCTGTAATAACAATAAGCCAACAGAGAAAGACCACAAGTAGTTGTAGAACGAACACCAGATAAAGGAGCAGGAAGGAGGAACACGCCTAACTAATGTGTATTTGGTTTCATATATAGAACACTTTTGAAAGAAACAACAAAAAAGTAAATATAGTTATATAGTATACACTACAATACAAGTACGAGTATGAGTATGAGTATGAGTATGAGTATATATATTTTTTATTATTATTACGTATTTAAACAGACGAGAGAACAATGAAACAATGTAAGATGGATGGTGTGTGGATGGAAAGAAATCAACAAAATAGCATAATTCTGTTTTTGTTTTGCCGTAAAGACTGCATTATACCAACAATTAATTATATACACAATTATTATATATCAATTTATATATAATAAATAATGTGTAAAGACGATCGAGATCGAAAGAGAGAGAGAGATGTGAGATGAAGAAAGGAAAGATGTTTAGGCATTAAAACAGAACAATTGATAAATAAACTTAAAAAAAAAAATGATAAAAAAAATATGAAAAATATTAAACAAAAACCAAGAAACATTTATTTATTAGCACCTAAGCGCACTGGACCAGAGAGAGAGACAGAGAAACAGAGAGAGAGATCCATAGATCCAGCGATCCATCGTTCCATCGATCCATCGATCCCCAAGGATTCAGATTCAGATCCAGATCCAGAGCCTTAGAGGCTCTCTATACCGACGCGATCTATACAGAACGAAAAGCAAAATAATGATGTGAAAACAACCTTACCAAAACGTGCTAACCCCAGGGGGATTTCCCTTCCATTCATAGTTAAGAAAGGCGGATTGTAATACACCACACCACACCCCCAAAATCACCAAATTGAAAGATAAATCTATTGGTATTAGTCGTAAGTTTAGATGATAGTACTACTACCCCCATGGCAGTAGTTTGAATAAGAAAAGAAACAAAAAAACTAAAAGTTCGATTTCGATTTCGGCAGAGAGGTCTCCTCTCCGGTTGCATACTAATCGTATGGGTATAGGTGTGTTCTTTGTTGGATTTTCGAGAGTTTGTAATGGTTTGCATACTGCATCTACTATATCAAGCAATTGCCAATGTACACATAGTATATATATATATATCTACCATATACATATGCCACACAAAAAAAGGCAGAGAACTCATCTGATATGCATATGTATGTTTAGTTCCACGTATGTTTTAGCGTCTCCGAAGTCCGAACTGCAGTCCCCGACAGCAAACCAACACAAAAGCCAACCAAATGAAAGCAATTTGTTTGAATAAAACTCAAATACATAAATATGTGCGTTTTTCTTCATTATAAATATGTTTAAAACATGAAAATCAATCGAATTCTGCGAGGCCTAACAGGGAAATTGATAGCCGAACGGCAGGATGTTAAGCCAGGAGGCAACAGCTACTATGCGTCAAAGACCATACATAGACTGCTGATCAGTGATCACATAATATATACCGGCTCTTGGTCGCCCTCTGAGCCCACTAATAGGTAGCAGGATGTGTAAATGAAGTAGGCGACGGCCACGATGGTGTTGAGGTCAATGTAGTATAGATAGTAGATGATGAAATTGTTGCACCACACCTCCACAAAGGGCGTCCGCTCGTGGAGTATCGTGGTGGAAATGAGCAGAACCACAGCCAGGACAGTGCCCACAAGCATCATCTACCAGGGATAGTACAGTAGATATGCATAATCGGAATTACGTAGAGAGGAGCGGAAGGGTTCCCGTCACTCACCCCATTGGATGTGACCTGATTGATCTGAAAGTGGCTCACGTACTTGGCCCTCATCATAATCATGACAAGAAACGAATAGACCAGGGTCAGCACCACCGTCCAGCGCATATAGAAGAGCTCCAGGCAGGTGAGATGCGGCAATTGGATGTTGTCCACAATTATGGTCCTGCTGCAGCGTTCGGAGATGGAGCTGTCGTCCGACACACGCACAGCCACATGAACGGAGGCATCCGCATGGATGTGTACAATCTTGTTGAGCATGTGGAGGGTACCAAAGCAGGCAATCTGGAGGAGGATCAGGATCAGGATCAGGACCAGGTAAAGCATCATCAATGGGGCTTGGCTCTTCCACACTCACAAAGGAACTCAGCGACAATAGGCCGAAGCTCAAGTCCAGGGCCCGACACATCATTCGATTCGATGCGATTCGATCTTGTTGCAATCAGCTGCCAGAAACGACTGGCCGAGCCAGAGCGAAGTCCATGCCTGAACAGCCGCACCCCCGCTGGAGCTGCGATTGGAGGGTGGGGATGGGAATGGGAATGGAATTGGAATTGGATGCGTTGTCGGTATGGCAGCTGGATTGCTGTTTGGAGCAGGTGTAAACAGTTTTATTTTACACATGTTTTTTCTTGCGACTAAATGCTTAATCATACAAAATGATGGCGATTCCCCCGGGGTATTGGGTAATGTGGGTTTGTGCGTGCGGGGATGGGCGTGGGAATGGGTCATGGGTCATGGACTGTGCATGGATGAGGCTTTAAAATTAGTCAACTTTTTGGAGTATATCAAATGTAGTATATGATCCTGGAAGAAGCGCTGGAGAAAGGGCAGACAGGATAAACTACTGGCTAAACTTGACGCCAATATTGTTGACGCGCGTCTGCATGTGCTGTAGGACATCCTGCGAGAAGTCCTCGATGGTGGTGAAGCGGCTCTTCTGGAAGCTGAAGATGTCGCCCAGGAAGGACAGTAGCTGCTCGCGAAAATAGTGACAAATGTCCCGCAGATTCTCGTTGGGCCCAAAGAAGCCCCAGGCCATCAGCGGTGATATCTGCTCGGATATCACATAGAAATGCGACATGAAGCCATGGGGGAACTTAAGCATGCGCTTCTTGGCCTTCAACACCGACCACACGGCCGTCGTGAGAGCCTGCCGAAAGGAGAACGACAATATGAATAGTCTTAACGGCGCTGGGTTTCGTTTCTTACCGTCTCTTTGAATCCGTTGGATAACCAACGATTTTGAACCACAGCCGTGACACTGGCTGGCGGTGTGTCCAGATCCTTGAACGAGTCCAGGATGATGAAGTCCAGGCAGATGTCGTAAAAGGTCATTGCCTTGACGTTGCGCTGCTCCAGTTCCATTTGGATGCAGGGCCATGCATTGGGGTCCTTCAGGAAGTTCACCATGTCCTCGTAGCCAACGAGAAACTCCTTCGTGTCCTTGTCGCCCAGACAGAGCAGATCGGTGAGTATCTGCCTGCCTGCATCGCAGATCCACTGACCAACAGCGGGGTCCTTGAAGAGAAACTGAAATGCCAGACGGACGCAGTGAAGCTTGGCCAGGTACTCGGTGTCGGTGCTGCAGTGCACCAGCTCCGCTCGAATGGTTCGGCAGGGCACTGTGTACTCATCGTGGTGCTTCAGGGCGCTCTGGAACAGCGGATACTCCTCGTACGAGGTCTCGATGAAGCCCTCAAATTCGCGCAGATCGGCCACCTGGTCGAGGGCCGAGGCGAAGCTCTCCGCCGAATCGAAATTAGGATCGGAGCCGGCGCGACTGAGCACGCTGCCCGATTTTCGAGAGATGCGGTCATCGTCATCGCCGCCGATGCCACCGCCAGCGGTGAGGCGATCCTCCTCGGCCTCGTCTATGGAATGTTCCTCGCGAAAAAGCACCGATCGCTGGTCAAGGAAGAGCAGCTCGCTCTGCTCTTGCAGCGTGTAGGCCATCTCCAGAAGGTTCTGGATCTCGCGACAGAACTCCGAGTCCTCGGCGGTGGTCAGCGAGGCTGGAAATCCGCCCGGCCAATAGTGTGCGGCTAGAGCATCCTCCCAGAAGTTGATCACCGTGTCCAGGGCCTCCATTCCCATTACGCCCAGCTGCTGGACGGTCAGCTGGGTGACTGCTGTGGGCACAGCATTCGGTCCACCACCACTGGGCCCCATAATGCCAATGGAGCCGGATGCCATTGACAGCCGATCGGAGTAGGCGATTGTGGAGCCCACCGGGCTGCCAGAGCGTGCCGATGCCTTGGAGCCGGCAATCGATAGCAGATCGTTGGGACTGCGCATACTGTTCCGTGTCCGACGATTTGTGTACTTCCTGGGACGACGCGGTGGACGTGGCGGCTTGCGGCGACGCAGGAAACGCGATAGGACGCCCATCAGAGCCACACCAGCGGTCAGTGAGAAGATGACGACCTGGACAATGATGTTTCAGAACGTCAGTGTAGTGGAAGAATAATAATCAGAATTGCTACTGCTTCTGCTTACCTTTGTGGTGGTGGAGACACGAAACGGCAGCAGGCTACCGCTCCATGTTGCCGGCACGTTGCGATGCATGCTATTTGAATTTTGAACACTTTCGATTTGGATGGGACGATTGGGAATACTTTTTGTACGGATGGCTCCCTGCCTGATCTGCTCTCTCTTTCTCTCGCTGATTGTGTGCGTGCTTTGAGGTTAAGCCCCGCCGATACCAGCGCCAATACTTGGCCCGCACATTGGCCACTAGGCTGTTGCTTTGCTCATCGGCTCGGGCCTGCCCTTTGGAGTTTGTTGTTTTGCCCCCTTGTTTTCCTCGAAAAAACTATGGTTTGGCAGTCACTTTTGCACGAACTGATTGCCTTGGTTTACTGGGTGTGCTGTGGAGATGAAAAGGGTTCTTTTACATAGGTTTTCCTTGCTGCTGGTCAGTCAAAACTTTCACTTTTAGGCCTGAAAACAACAAATTGCATCACAACGTTGGGGGGGCGCGCGGCGCCAGAGGGCCATCAGCTGTCACCCGTGTGTTTACCAGGGCTGGCTCGACAAGTCGATAGCTATCGCCGTGACGATATATCTTGAATACTTTTCGGTATTTTTCGGTATATTTTATAATCAATAACAGCATCGATATTTCGAAATTGATGTCGTCAGTATATTTAAGGAATATTTTTAAAATGAAACCGTATACTTTGGTATAGTTCTCAGTGTCAGACGCCGTCACACTGAAGGCTAAATCTTGTTTGTAAATTTTGGTTAAAATCGTATAACTCGTAAATCCCGTGTCGAACAAAACGCTAAGCAGTCGTGTTAAAGGTAAGATAAAAGAGAAAAGGTGATTACCGAGAGGTTCCTCCGGAAGCCGCATTTTGCTGGCCTGTCTTCCATGTGGATTTGCCTAAAAAATGGCCGAGCTTACCGAAATCCGCTCATCGCGTCACTTTTTTTTTTGCGTCTGTTGCTGCCTGCACTGGTATTGGACATAAACCTGTGTTTGTGGCTGTGTGTGTGTTCGCGCTGTATTCTGTATAACAGGGCTTATACCGTGTGTGTACCGTTTTCCCCGCAGCATCATCGGCAGCCGGTGCTACCCTAACATTACAGATGTCCTACTTTGGCGTCTACATTCCGCCGTCCAAGGCTGGCTTTGAGGGCACCGCGTCACAGTGTGCGGGCTCCATAGCGGCGGTGAATATCAAGCCAGGCCCAGAGTCGTCGTCGGCCACCAGCAACAGCACGACAGTCACAGCGACAGCAGCATCGTCAAGAGCATCAGATAATCTCAACGTGGACAACTATGAGGATCCCGAATATCCACGTAAGTGCGTTGTTACTTGTTTCAGCTGCAGCTACAGCTATTTGGCGGGGGGGACGCTTGTTGCTTCCATAGAGCGCGCGCGCGCGGTGTGTGCACACAGCCATGACTAAGTGTTTGTGTGCAAATGCGTGTGTGTGAGTGAGCAAATCCCAAGAAATTCGCGAGGTTTTCGCAGCTGTTTCGCTCTCCCAGTCGATTCCACCACAATATCGTATATCGCCCCTATATGGCAATAAATTGGCACACCCACAAACCCCTACCCCTTCGATCGGTCTGCTGTTACTTTTCCTCTGCCTTGGCGTAATCCAATTAAATGCCTTTACCCGCGATTAACTTTGGCTGCCTTTGTTTGCGAGGTACACCGAACAGATGGCCCCCTGCCTCTCATCAACAGGACCTTGAACTGCCGCCCACCAACACGACGCACATTTATTGTTGCCTTTACATTGCGCTTTTCCTTAATATGTACATATATTCTTCAGTTTTCGAGTGTTATTTATAAAGCCAGCTGCACAGTAGTACCAACCAAAAACAAAACAGTGTGTGCGTGTGCGTATGCGTATGCCCCGGATTCAATATTTATATATCCCCAGCTAATGTGTCGAATGCTCCCCGGAACAATGTGGGTTGTGTGCCTCTCTCTGTTCCTGTGCCTGTGCCTGTGCCTGTGCCAGTCCCTGTGACTGTTTGTTAGCCCCTGCCAACAACAACAAAAACCCCAACAAAAATAAAAACAAAAGCAAAAGAAGGGTACAAGAACGTAGAACAAAATCATCTGCGAATAGTCGAAATGTTTATACCCTTCATCACCTTTATTTGGCAACTAAAATTTGTTCCATGACCACATTTACGATACTTTAACATTGAATGGAGTTCCGTCCTAAATTCAATCGATCTTTACTGTAAACTACAGTAATAGCTATGGGGAATTTAGCCCATAAAGAGACACTATCGATTCCCAATATAGCAATAGCAATATGACGATCTACAATACCAGAACAACTACTAAAGCTACAACAGATGGATATCTCAGGGAAATTCCATTCCACAGAAAGCTCTTCTGTTTTTATTCCTTTACAAGCACAGTTTCCGTGGAATTCGGTGAAAAGTCTGAAATGTGGCAAAACACCTGAAAATCCAGCGAAATACCCTGTGCATTTAGCAAAAGGCAGGGAAATGTCAGGGCTTTGTGCCAATAACTGCGTCACACGCATGGTGGTGCCCCTGCCCCCTCCCCCTCCCCCTCCTCCTCCCGCCGTGCCAGCCAGCCGCCTCTTTGTTTTTGTTGTGGCTGTTGCTCCCTCCGCGCATTGGATTTTGTTTTGCTTACCACATTTCGCGCCTCATCTGGCAATCATTCCGCTCATTCGTTTCATTTGTCGCTTCGCCATTTTCCCCAGTTTCCCATTTCACCATTTCATTATTCTCCGCTGCTCTGCCATTCGAATGGCGTGACCAGTCGCGTCGCGTCGCGTCTACTGTTCTGCTGGTAGCTAGATCTCATTTATTAATGGTACAACAATCTTCTGATTTTGAATTTGATGCCAACACCACCCACAGCCGACTCGCCCCTGTGGCTGATCTTTACCGAAAAAGCCAGGGCGTTGGAAGTGCTGCGACACTACAAGGATGCCCGCCTGCGTGAGTTCCCCAATCGCGAGCAGGCAGAAAGTTACGTGCAGTTTGGATTCGAGAGCATCGAGTCGTTGAACCGATTTGGCTGGGCCAAGCCAGTGAGCAGTAAGTGCAGACAGAGAGACAGTCACCAGTTCCCACTGGAGATCTAATATTTTTTTTTTTTTCCTTTTCCCATCCATCCAGAGCCCCTGGCGATGAGCAACAACTTTAAGCCGTCGTCATCGGGATCGACGGACGGTCCGTACTCCACCTCGCCCACTGCCACCGCCACCTCCAGCAACAGCAGCGGCAGCGGCAGCGGCAGCAGCAGCAGCAGCAGCAGCAGCTGTATCAGTAGCCTGGCCGCCTCCATGTCGAATCTGCTGATTGTGAATCCTCCAATATCGACGCTACCCAGCATTTCCATCAACATAAGCAGCAACAAAAGTGCCACCAGTGTGCCGATCAACGACAGTGCCAGCGGAAGCAGCACTACCACAAACAGCGGCAGCAGCACTGGCACTGGGACTGCGACTGGGACTGCGACTGGGACTGCGACTGGGGCCAAGCACGAGACAGCAGGAGCTAGCAGTTCCAGCAGTGAGCGTCCACCATTCCGGGCACCCACCAAGCAGGAGCTTGTCGAGTTCCGCAAACAAATCGAGGCTGGGAACATCGAGCGGCTGCAGCGAATTGTCTGGGAGAACCCCCGCTTTCTCATCAGCAACGGGGACACCCCCACCAGCCTGAAGGAGGGCTGTCGCTACAATGCCATGCACATTTGCGCGCAGTTCAATCAGGCGCGTGCAGCCGAAGCGATCCTGAAGATCCTCACCAATCGCGAGTTCACACTTCAATATGTCGGCAAGAAGGCCAGCGGGCAGATGTGCGCCACGCTAAACGACAACCTGCTCGACTACTATTTGAATATGCCCGACAAGGCGCGCGGTGAAACGCCCTTACATTTTGCGGTGAAGAATGGCCACGTGGCCGTCGCTGAGGTCCTCCTTTCGTATCCACAATGCAAGTCGCTAATCAACTTGGAGGGCAAAGAGCCGAAAGAAGTGAGTTGTTTGCTGTACAGAAAATAAATCAAATCACTTTGCAATCTCTCATCTCTATGTTGTACCCCACAGATCATTTGTCTGCGCTCACCGCACGCCCCGCCCGCGGTTGTCAACAAGCTGGAGCTGCTATTGGGAGACCCACACTATGTGCCCGTGCTGAGGTCCGTCGCAAATGAGGTGCCGCCACAGGTGGGCCAGCCCTTTACGCCTAGCGAACCGCCGGTAAGTCGTGGTGGAGGAGGAGTTACCTCTCTGTATCTGTATCTGTATTTGTATCTGTATCCCCATTAGAACTTGAAGCAAAAAACAAGGGAATGCGAGGGCCTCACCATGGACCTGACCATCAGCGCTTTGGCGGGACCCATGCCCCGCGAAAAGGCCATGCATTTCTATCGTCGCTGGAAGACGCCGCCTCGCATTGCCTGCAATAATTTAAGTCCATTGGCCTTCTCGCCGTTTGCGTCGCCGCTGAAGGTGACGCCTAACAAGTCCATCTTCAATCGCAGCCCGAATGGCAATGGGGGAGCAGATTTGTGTGTGGCATCGACACCCGTGGGTCGGCGTGCGCTCTTCAGCCCGAAGGCAGGGGCCAGCTGCTCGCCGAAGCCTTTGTTCCTGAACGGCAAAGATTGCGAGAACAACAATAACTACAACAGCGAGCCGATGGGGCCACCGATGGAGATACCAGTGACACCGATGCGTCTGAACAGACCGGATCTATTTTTGGCCTATCGCGGGGACGTCCAGTCCTCGCCCTGTAATAGCACATGGCTCGGCGACGAAAGCATCGGTATAGATGTGAGCTCGCAGTCATACATGAACGATAGCTTGCGTGAGCGTCACATCAAGAACTCGGACATCGAGAAGGGTCTAGAGATGGTGGGCAGACAGCTGGCACGCCTGGAGAATCTCGAGTGGCGCGAGTACTGGGACTTTCTCGACTCGTTCGTTGACATCTCCAGCGAGAGTGGCCTGCAGCAACTGGAGGGCTATCTGCAGCAGAAGGCGGAGCAGGCCCAGGCCGAGAGGTCCGATCCAATGTATTTTGAGGCACAGATTGACGAGTATTTGGATATGGTAATCGCGGATCATCATCAGAATCAGCAAAGGCATGGCAAGGGCCAGGCTGTGGCGGCATCCGCTGCTGGTTCTGGTTCTGGCTCTGGCTCTGGTCCCAGCCCCACCACCCAGGTGATGACGCCATACACATGCGTGGAGAACTCTCTGCAGGTGTTCGCCAAGCGCATCACCAAGACCCTCATGAACAACATCGGCAACATGGTGTCGATCAACGACACCCTGCTCTGTGAGCTTAAAAGACTGAAATCGCTGATCGTCAGCTTCAAGGATGACGCCCGATTCATCAGCGTTAACTTCACCAAGGTCCACTCCCGCATTGCCCATCTGGTGGCCAGCTATGTGGCCAATTCGCAGGAGGTCAATGTAGCCATTCTCATTCAGCTTCTCCAGATGCTGCGCCGTCTCCTCCAGCTGCACGACGACCGTCGTGATCATTTGGGCTGCGTCTGTGGCAGCCTGGTGCTGATGCTCGAACAGGCTCCGGTCCATGCCGCCCAGCTGCCCGATGCCCTCAAGACCGAGAGTCTTTGTTCGGCCGCCTGGAATACGGAGCAATCGTGCCCCTGTATTTGGGATGCGAATCTCAGTCGAAAGACCAGTCGACGAAAGCGCACGGAATCGATGAAGCGTGCAGCACAGGCCTCCCAGGCCTCCCAGGCCTGCCAGGCCCAGGACTCCCCAGCACCGGGTTCTCCAACAGCCACAGCCACAGCGGCCATCGTTTTACGTTCCAAAGTCGAGGAATGGCCCTGGCAATTTCGTTCACGCCGCAGCCGCCCAAACAGCGACAACGACGACGATGAGGACAACATTGGGGAGGCTTTCTTTGTAAGTAGAAACGATAAATAAAACCAAGCCTGTGCTCATTTTGTGGCCTCCTTCCAGTACGATTGCAGCAATGTGCAGCAGCAGGACAGCAGTAGTGATGACGAGGAGCTGTTTTGCACTCCGCCGGAGAGCATGTCACCGCGTACATCCATCTCTCCGGAGCCTACAAGCCTACACTACAAACTCTTTATCTTTGGGTAAGTTTCAACAATAATATCCCATAATAATATCGATCGCAACTAAATCGCAACCGAAACCGAAACCGAAACCGAAACCCTTGCAGTAACGAGCCAACCAAGCGTGATTTGGATATCCTCAATGCCATTTTCCATGTGGATGTGGAGAAGGAGACACTGCCGCACGTGCACGCCTGGAAGACGGCCATGGAGAGCTACTCCGCAGTTGAAATGGATCTGTAAGCTACTCTATCCCTTCTTTTTTCAGTATTGTGCATTACCAAATGTTTTTTCTCTCGCAGTTTCCCATCGCCAACAAATATTCAGAAGACGCACAAGCCCATCCTGTGGACCGGCCCCGGCCCCTCCAAGACTTCGGAGGGCAGCGGCACCATTAGCACCAAACACAACCAAAGCTCGATTCATCCCAAACGCCTGTTTTCTACACCCAAACTCAATGCGGTGTCATCGTTCGGACGTCGTGGGTCTGGCCCAGGAGCGGCACCATCGACGCCGCCAAAGCCAGCGCGTTTACCACGGTCCCCCGGCCAGTCGAATGGCATAGATGTTAGCGTACCGAAGGATGTGCCAGTAAGCACGCCAGTCGAGATAACCGCATCAGCAGTGTCCCCAATGCCGGCTTTTGCAGCGGCCGCAGCGGCAACCGTCTCGCAGTCATTCCAAACGCCACTCAACAAGATGCGCGGTCTGTTCAGCAAGTACCGCGAGAGTAGGACCACCATTGATGATTCGCCGATCGTCAATATCAATGGGCAGCAGCCACGCAGATCATCGCTGACCCTGGGGAACAGCAGTGATTAGGAGATGTCACACAGCCCCCAGACAACACCATACCACGGCACACCACACACCACACACCACACCACACCACACTGTCCACAGTTCTTTTTGGTTTTTTTTGTGTTATGTTGCAGACGTTCGTCCGTTGACGTCCAGTCCCAAGTTCATATATTCATATATTAAATTGTCGATTTAAAAGAGAGTTTGTGTTCAAGTGTAAGCTATGTTGAATTAATTATGGTATATATATATACCTTTTATATACCCGTCTATGAAACGTCTATGATGAAACAAAGCACGAAGCAGAATGAAATGAAGTGGCATGTGAAAGAAACTAGATTTATATTAACTTTTTTTGTTAAAATTACTGTAAAGAACATAAGCATAATTTAATTATAAACAACATAATCAACAGTATTCGTTATAACGTTCGGATTTTTAATTAAAATTAAGCCTCAGAATAGGGGGACACACTTTACACTCCCTACTCATTCAGATTATATTTTTCCGGTTCCTTTTCCATATGTAATGGTTCTTGCTCCGGAGCTCTTAATTGAGAGTGTTTCGTTCGGAGAGCTCAAAGAATTGCCTCAGAGGCAACCAAAAGGAGCCAAACATACTGAGAGCCAGAGTTCCCTGTGGACCTCTGACTTGCTTCTTAATACCTAAGGTATTACAGAAGATTCTGGGGAGGGGTATTATCTTGAAACACTCGACGCTGATAAGCTGATTGCTGAGCTCAGCAACAAGAAGATTCTCTTCTCAGATACTAAAATTCTATCGAATACATCTTAGTTACTCGATATTTAGTCACTTAAACAAACCAGCCGGAACAATGAAACTCAATATTCTGGAACGAGATACGAGAGAGATACGATCATATATCGCAGAACAAAGTAAGTCATTTTTGTTTGTTAAAAAGTTACAATGCACATTCGAAATAGTTTCAAAATTAAATAGCTCCTGAAAATAGTTCCGAGTTGTCCGGCAAATTCATCAGCATGCTCGGGAAACAGTTCCAGAGCTCGGCCATTTCTCAATGCCGTGTCTGCTGGCGGCTCTACCAAGCGACCCCTGGCCAAATGCAGACGGTAAGAGTCTAGGGTCAATGAGGTAGGTGTTCCAGTCGATTAATCGTTGTTTTCTTCCAGCGCCAGTTCCGGGTGGCAGTGATTGGGGCGGTCGGAGGCATTGGCCAGCCACTGTCGCTTCTGCTGATGGCCAACAAGCTGGTGACCGAGCTGGTCCTGCATGACCTCACGGCTACCAAGGGCTTCGGGCAGGATCTGTCGCACATCGACAGGGCGTGCCAGGTGAAGTCGTTCTTCGGAGAGGACCAGATGGAGTCGGCCATAAAGGGTGCTGACATCGTGATGATTACCGCGGGAATGCCGCGAAAGCCGGGCCAGACCAGGGACTTCCTGTTCGACACCAACGCCCCGATAGTGGCAAAGGCCGCCGGCCTGGTGTCCCAGCACGCGGCCCACGCGCTTGTGGGGATCATCACTAATCCGGTGAACGCCGTGGTGGCTGTTGCGGCGGAGGCGATGAAGAAGGCTGGCTACTACGACCCCGAGCGGCTCTTCGGAGTGACCACACTGGATGTAGTGCGGGCCGAGAAGTTTATTGGGGACCACATGAGCATCCATCCAGGGAAGGTTCGGATACCAGTGATCGGAGGCCACGCCGGCACCACTATCGTTCCCATCTTCTCCCAGTGCCAGCCGCCATTCGAGGGAGACGAGAAGTGCATCGCGTCGATCGTCAAACGCATCCAGACAGGCGGCGATGAGGTGGTTAAGGCCAAGGCTGGACAGGGCTCCGCCACCCTCTCGATGGCCTACGCGGCTGCCCGTTTCACCAACGCTTTAATGTTAGGTCTCAAGGGCGAGCCGGGGCCGCCCGAGTGCGCATACGTGCAGTCCGACGCCACCGAAGCCCCGTTCTTCTCCACTCCACTCACCCTCGGTCCCAAGGGCATTGAGGAAAACCATGGCCTGCCAGAGCTGGATGAATGCGAGAAGGAGCAGCTGAAGGTAGCCGTCGACGCGTTGAAGAAGTCCGCCGCCAAGGGCGTGAAGTTCATGGAATAATTAACACATTCCCAAGTACAACGAGTAACTGTAGATGATAATGGTGTTGAAGGTCAGTGTCCGCATGGTTGAGTCGGTAGTCTCAATCTCCTATCTCTCGATCTCCACGTGACGAGTGTCCGCCTTACACTGGCGTGTGTATGGTGTCCGAGAAAAGTACATGATCTCGGTGCGCCTAGTCGCTCTTCCTCAGCGAGTGTAAGAATCATTTCAGCGGTAACCACTAACCACTGGACTACTAACTATTGGAAGGCAAGCGAGCACCCATAGATGAGGATGGATCTGGGGTCCAGATGGGCCGTTCTCCTATCCATCCTATCCATCGTAAAGGACTGTCTTAATTTCAACAGTCCTGCTTGATGGGAGAAATGGTCGAAGTGATGGTCTTTCGTGTATTACACGGATCCAGGAACATTTTACAAGTGAGCGGTCATTCGAAATGGATGCTTAATCGAAGATGAGAACACGTCTTCGCAGGAAATCCGAGAAAACGCCTGCAATCATCAGTCCGTTGCAAAAAGAATGCCAAAAATGACCTATCGTTATCGACGTGGTATGACATCGAGGCGATCGACTCGATCCAGCGGACACTGGACTTTCACTCCACTACCACCTTGCAGCTGGGGCGGGCTGCTGATAGATGATTTTTACAAAATAAAACAGGGGATTCAAACGAACTGTTGTTGGTTATAGCTCTAATAAATTGTGCTGTAAGGTGCGAGACTGATATTGAGAGAGGGCGGCGTCTTTTTCATTGGGGAACACCGAATTGTGTTGCTTGTTTTTATAATGAAAAGCTCCTATCAGGCTAACACCACCGCACTCCTGTTCTGCTTGCCTCTCTTGGCCATCGAGACTCTCTTTCTCGTTCGGCTGTGTTCCGTTGATTTGCTGAGGCTACATACAATTTGTCCGATCCGTAACATTGAGAGGATACACTCTTTTAGAAGTCAGTAGTTTCTACGATTTTGAAGTAGTCGTGGAGCTGAGTAAGCCGTTTCCGTTTGTCAAGTATTCGAAATTTAATCTTTAAACTCCCAAACCTACCTTTTCCTTGAAATTTTTTGGCTTTCATTTATCAGCGTCAACATGTTCAAGAACCAGCTAAAGCTAACAAATTTTTCGAAGACTCGACTCTGCTGGCAGCTGTATCAAGCGTCCACAAGCCAAAGGTTGACGCAGACGGTAAGTCGCTATATCTTCAATCAATGAGGATATAAATATCCTATCCCATCTGTTCTTTTGCAGCGGCAGTTCCGGGTGGCGGTGATAGGAGCAGCCGGAGGCATTGGCCAGCCACTGGCGCTCCTCCTGATGACCAACAAGCTGGTCACCGAGCTGGCCCTGCACGACATCGAGACCACCCAGGGCTTCGGCAAGGATCTGTCGCACATCTCCACGGTGTGCAAGGTGAAGCCCTACTTCGGGGAGAACGAACTGAAGAAGGCCATAAACGGTGCTCACATCGTCATGATTACCGCGGGAATGCCGCGAAAGCCGGGCCAGACCAGGGACTTCCTGTTCGACACCAATGCCCCGATAGTGGCAAGGGTCGCTTGCATGGTGGCCAAGCGTGCGCCCAAAGCTTTGGTGGGGATCATCACTAATCCGGTGAACGCCGTGGTGGCCGTTGCGGCGGAGGCGATGAAGAAGGCTGGCTGCTACGACCCCAAGCGGCTCTTCGGAGTGACCACGCTGGATGTGGTGCGGGCGGAGAAGTTCATTGGGGAGCACATGAACATTCATCCGTATGATGTGAGGATACCCGTGGTCGGAGGACACGCCGGCACCACCATCGTGCCCATCTTCTCCCAGTGCCAGCCGCCCTTCGAGGGAGACGAGAAGTGCATCGCGTCGATCGTCAAACGCATCCAGACAGGCGGCGATGAGGTGGTTAAGGCCAAGGCTGGGAAGGGCTCCGCCACCCTCTCGATGGCCTACGCGGCCGCTCGCTTCACCAACGCCCTGATGCGAGGCCTCAAGGGCAAGGCATGTGCGCCCGAGTGCGCCTACGTCCAGTCCGACGCCACCGACGCCCCGTTCTTCTCCACTCCACTCTCCTTCGGCAAGGATGGAATCAAGAAAAACCATGGCCTGCCCGAGATGAATGAAAGCGAGAAGAAGCAGGTGAAGGTGGCCGTCGATGCGCTCAAGAAGTCCGCTGCCAAGGGTGTCGAGTACATGAAAAAGTAAGGGGCTTCTTGAAAATGTAGCACCTTTCGATAATACAAATTTTCAGTGCAGCAGAAAAGATCGGTTTTCATCTTGAAATAGTTACCGGAATAGCGAAATAGTTTTATTTGGAAGCTATTTGAAGTAGTGGATGCATTCCTGGCGATTCAGAGGAATGTACTGCCGGAAAAAACAACAAAAGATAAATTTCGTTGAGAGAGCTTCATAACTGATGGACCAGTTTGTAGAGAAACAGATGGACAAAGTTTGAATGTCTCTTTTTGATCAAGAATGTATGTACATATATACATATATACCTTTTCTGGGATCTGCAAATTTTATAGTGCCCCGCAACGAATACTTAAGTGATATGCGGATAGTCGATTCGCTATAGCCATGTCCTTCGTTCCATCTTTTTATTTCTTTCCCCACATTTCCCCAGCAGATATCTTGTATACAGGCAAGCCTTCGCTTTGCGGAGCGGATCACTACATAGTGGCACATTGTTGTCCAAGTTGCAACTTTCGCTCTCACATTCTTTCGTTTTGAAATATAGTTCTCAAACTTTCCAAAAAGTGCTCGTCCGAAAAGGCGGAGAAGGACGAGAGGAGAGGAGAGGTGACGGCAGCTAAAAGCGATATTAGCGCAACAAATGGTTGCAAGCAATAAAGGGGAACAAGTTCGTAATGGCTTTGTCGAGTATTACGCCCGACAGATACCCATTTAAATATATGATTTGATCGATCAGAGCAGTCAGTTTAGAAGACCTAAATCTCTGTCTTCTTGCCCCTGAAGGTCATGCAGGTCAGGGAGAAGGCCTCTATGGCTTGTGCACATTCTCTCTCATTACTTAAGAAGTACAATGGAGTTAGAGCACAATAGAGTTCTGCACGAGTGTGTATCTTTTTGGCCGGTTGATCATCAGTACATTTGAGGGTTGTGTGATCGGAAACGAGTGCACTATACCCGTGTCCTCCCCGAGTACTGGGTATGGAAGAGCCATGAAAGCAATTACCATTAATCACACACGAACACATACAGACAAATAAACGGACGGACAGGCGCACGGACGGACAGCGGAACGGACATGGAGACCAGCCTCAAAGGAACATTCTTCGCCACCGATCGATCTTGGTGCGCAATGCAAAACGAGAAACTGAAACCGACTGAAACCAGAAAGGAAGGCCAGCTTCGGGGTGACGAAGCACCCAATACCCTTTCAGATCTATTGGTATTGCGCTGTGCAAACCATTTAGTGCTGCGCGTCCTTCTCTTCTCAAAGCAATGATACTTTCTGCAAGGGTATGAGAAAAGGAAAAACTTTTATCGAAGCCTGTATACCCTCAGCCATAGATTCTGTCCTGCCTGCCCCTCCAGTGTCCTCTTTCTCGAACTCATCCTCGAGAGTCTCGCTTACTCTCAATTTCTTATTTATGAGAGTGCTCCCTACGATGGCAGCGCTACCCACTGATCTGGGAGCATCACGGGCCGATTGGACATGAGAAGCATCTAGATATTTGGTAGGAATTATGTCTAGAAATTGAGTAATGGGATTTTTGGAAACTCAAATGGCTACATTTGAAGTTTGTGATTGTGACTTTGGGGTGATTTGAGTGAATGATTTTTATTCAACGGTGAGTATTCTTCAGGGATTGCCATTCTCTGGTATGTGTGGACCAATGCATGGGTATATTCTAGCCGGGTTCCTGTTTCGAAAAGTTCTCCTCTCTTTGGGGTAATTTTTTTTCCTCATCCTCTGCATTTGTCAACTGGATCTGAAGAGTGTGGTGCGACGCTAGGGGACACCAGGGGCAGGGGGTAGCACTGTGGAGACGCTGTGGCGAAGGGGCCCCAACAAATTTGTTTCAATTGCCGTTCGTTTCGCTCAGTGGTCGGACAACTTTTCAATGGCAGTGGGGGGGTGGGGGCCTTTGACAAATGATCGCTGATAAGAGGCCGAAACGAGGCAGAGAGAGCAGCAAAGAGCAGATTCGAAAACAAATTGAAAGGGAGGACCGTGGGGCAGGCAGTTGGCAGGGTGCACCATAAGTGGGTCGCGATCGAGTTTCGATCCTAGGAGAGGTCCTAGAATGATCTTCTGGTTGCCTTTCTCTTAGCGCCGCCGGCAGGTGCAGATCTTATGTGATCGACGGGATCCTTTGCTTATTTATGCTCAGGGGCCGCGCCCGGCCCGTTATGGTCTCCTGCAGGAACGGTGGCAGAGGGAGGGGAAGCTGTGTAGGGCCTGCCCTGCCCTGCCCTGCCGACTGGCGCCAGTTGGATGAGGGCTCCTGCCGCTGCTGTTTCTGCTTCACTTATCTGGCCACCGCCATCAGGGTCAACTCAATTCGGCAGTTCTTTTGTTCAGCTCGGATTCAGATTCGGGTTTGAGTTTGGGTTTTTCGGTTTTTTTTTGGTTTTTTGGGTTCTTGGGCTTGAGCTGGTCTTGGAGATCCGTTCAGCTTTTGTGAAACTTGAGAACACTTCATGTGTTGGCTCCGAGGTTGGCTGGACAACGGAGCGAACAAAGAGCGCCGAGAGCCGAGAGTCTGGGGCCGGCCGTGTCAGAAGTTCACACAAAACTTGTGAAGTTCCTTCGTCTTGTGCATCCTGAAGTGGAGCCTGTCGCGGACTGGAGTGCAAGGCGGCGCCGGAAGCTGTTCAGACAGCGCCTGACCAGCTCCTATCGAGCAATTAGCTGCGACCGACCATTCGACCATCCCATCCATCCATCTATCCATCCATCCAAAGCATCTGCACTCCGGCATAGGACTGACCCACAATCTCTACTCGAAGACTAGACCAAGGTCCGGGTATCGACAATCTAAGCGAAAGCATTAGGAAAAAAAAAACAGAAAAGGCTAGTTTTAGGAGCCGAAGTATGAAATACGCTTGACACGCTTGCATATCCAGTTGACTTAGGGATAAATATAAGCCACAAGTCAAAGATAATCTGCAATAGATTTTAGTAGACGTCCGAGCGCAAGAGGGAAGCTAGTGAGCCGGGGGTTGGCTAGTCAAGCAGAGGGCTCCTGCTGATAAGTAGCATTTCATATTAGTATTTTCTTCTTCCGTTAGTACAAACGTTGTAAAGGACTGTTTGGAAATCCCTTTTTACATATCTCTTTAGCGACCTATAAGTCCAATATGAATATAGCCTGGCAGTAGATATGCAGGTACTTTGAATCAGATTCTGCAGATATACAAAATCGCTGTTATATCTTAGCTTTCAATTGAATTGAATGCTTGAACGATTGAACAATAAATATCCGTCCTTTGGTTATAGTGGTAGAAACGCTCTTCCCCGGAAGGGTATCAGGGTGTAGGGTATATAGGGTATAGGTCAATCTATGTAGATGGGTCAGTCACGATTACTACCCCATTTCGGGGGCACAATCAGCGTCATGCAACATTACAGTGCCTAAACAATGAAAGGCTTTTAGTGGCCCCCGCAAAAACCCCAAAAAGCAGACACTGCCACACACCCAGCCCGTTCGCACGCAGCCACTAATGACCCACGCATCGATCCCGTTTTTTTTTTTTGTATTTTCACTCCTTTGTGTGTGTGGGATTTGTCCTTAGGTTAGTCCTTCAGGCAAGCTGACACGAGCCAGAGCTGCTCTGGTCGCTGGATTATTGGTGGACCATTGACTGTGGCCTCGACCGGGGCGAGCAATGTTTCTGAAACGAAAATGCCGCAAGAGAAACGCGTCCACGAGTCCACCAGGCGGCAACGAGCCCTCGAGACTCTGGTCATCTTCCGCCGGAGTCTCATCTACCAGACGAAGGAATTCTTCCAGAACTCCACCCTTCATGGCGTTCGCTACATTGCCGAAACGGGTCGTCCCATCGGTGAGAAGTTCATGTGGTTCTGCTTCACATCGATTGGTGCCGTCACCGCTCTGGTCATCATCATGAGCCTGTGGGAGAAGTTCCAAACGAATCCGACCATCACCGGTCTGGACACGGACTTTCACAACCAGAATGTCGTCTTTCCCACAACAATTGTCTGCCCGGAGGCGGCCTTCGATCATGAAAAGTCCTATGCGGCGGTCTACAAAAGTTTGGCGTGAGTACAGCACCCGGAAATATCGGCCTTGTGGTATATACTTTGCTGCTTCCAAACAGGAACTATGACGATACACACGCACAGATGTTTGCCCCATTCTTAGAGCTACTCACATCGCTCAACTTCGGCAACATTCGCGACGCCAAGGTGCTGTCCGAGTCGATACCCAAGGACCAACTGGAGGAGCACACCATCAGGCAGTGGGCGTTCGAGGGCCACATCAGTTGCGAGAATACCTTCGTGTCGTGCAAGTATCGCGACGAGGACATACCCTGCTGCGATCACTTCGAGCCCATCTATACGGAGCACGGCTTCTGCTATGCCTTCAACAGTCGCTTCAAGTCCACGGCCACCGAAGAGTAAGTGCATTTTGTCCGTCTTCTGGCCGTTTATCTGGATCTGAGCCAGGATCTTTTGTGTGTTTTAGCATCAAGACGGGAGCCCCGCACGATCTCTACGAGACGGACAAGAAGTGGGCCCTCTTCTTTGTGCCCAACAGCACCTCCAGGGTGAGTCCTGAAGGAGAAAGAATACGATTTGGGGATACTGAATACTGATACTAGTCCTGTCTATGTTTGATGACAGATTTTCATCTTTTCGAATGAGGAGTACTTTGGATCGGACTTCAATGCACAGATCGACTGGTCCGAGAGCCAGCTGGTGGAGGTGCGGATCTCCAAGAAGAACACCTACACCACGGACGATGCCCGCCAGCTGTCCATCGGCCAGCGAAAGTGCATCTTCAGCGATGAGGTGAAGCTCAACTACTTTCCGGACGTGTACACGTTCTCCTCCTGCATGAAGCAGTGCCGCATGAACAAGGCAATCAAGCTGTGCAAGTGCAATCCACCCTTTTACAAGCCCATAAGTGAGTCAGTCCATAAGTCCATAGATCCTCCGTAACGGATCCTCCTCTGCCTTCCAGACAACGTTCCCATGTGCATGGTCAAGGACTTTGACTGCCTCGACGAGTTCAAGGCGAATATTACCAACATCAAGGACTGCTTGCAGTGCGAGCTCAGCTGCTCCAAGACTGTGTTCAACATTGACAAGCTAATCAAGATGTGAGTGTTCCGTAGTCCTCCCCGTTTTCCATACTTCCCTCTAATGGTATGCCTCTCCCAGAATGGATCGACCCGAGAGTACGGGAGTACTGGTCGAGTTCCTCACATGGCCCATCATCCGCTACAAGCGTGAGGTTCTCTTCGGCTGGGTGGATCTGCTGGTGTCCTTCGGGGGCATTGCCAGTCTCTTCCTTGGCTTTTCGCTGCTATCTGGCGTTGAGATCATTTACTACTTCACGCTGCGCGCCTGCTGCATGGTCTACAAGAATCGCGTAAGTTTTCCCAGGACTCCTGCTCCTGCTCCTCTGCTCTGCTCTGCTCTGCTCCTCTCTAATTCTCCGACTCTCTCTTTTTCTGTGCTAGCAAGAGCTATACGAGATCGAGGAGCGCATTCGTAAAGAGCCTCCCCCATCGATTGATCTCCAGCTGCGGCTCAAGTCGCATTCAACACTGAGGATGGGCACCCCTTCCACCTCGGCCGTGCTGCAGGTGAAGCCCGTGGGGGAGGCAGGCGGGGGATCTCAGCGAAAACACGAAATGGTTTGTTCTGCAATGCAATATTTGTTGGTTTTCTTATCTAGCTTCTTTGTCGTTTGCAGAGCTTTTATAACCACACAAAGAATTTGTATCGCAGCCCCAAAGTTTTGCCCGATCATGGGTATGGATCCACCACCATGAAATCTTGGAAAGCGTCCGATCAGGCACAGTATATTCCTTGAGTTTCGTGAATTGAAAGCAATCGATAACAGCCTTCGATGACAGCACAGTAGTATTTTCCAATCGATAACAGCCTTCGATAATAGCACAGTAGTATTTTGCTTGAGTTTCGGGAATATTTCGAATTTAAAGACGTCGATAAGAGCCTTCGACGATAGCTTGGTCGATAACACCGATTAACACTGAGTGGCAGATAATTGTATTCCTTAAATATCGTACCGCCTGCCCATTTAGGAGGAGGCGTCACTGCGGAGTGTGAATTTTGAATTGCGGTCTTGCTTTTAATTAAATATATATATCATATAAAAACTATATCAAAATAAATAACCAACAAACCAATACGTACAGCACAGTAATAAAGAACGTACATACAAACTATATATTCAGCTCAAAAAATAGTAGAAAAACAGAGTGAAATTGTTTCAGCTGCCGCCACAGGAATACAGGAATGTGCCGCCAGCCGCTCGCCGCCACCAACGATGGATTTTTCTCCCAATTAAACTTCAGTCTTCAGTGCTGCATACTTAGCGGCGGAGTTCAGTGCACTGTGGGTGCAGACCCCACACCCAATACAGCTCACCCCACCCCGCTCCACCGTGCAGAGCCAACCACAGACTACCCGCCGCAACCCTCCGCAAAGCCTTCCAACCAAATTCCCCGGCATTCAGAGCCACAGTTGAGCAAAAGCGAAAAGCATTTTTCAGTTAACATCGTTGCCGGCTCATTGTTAATTCCCCAGCCATCGTGCCGTAGAAAGAGATGGAGACCAGGGAGCGACAAGGAGAGAGAGACAGAGAGAGTGATGACTGCCAACAGGTGGGGGACTGGGTGGGTGGCTGGCGGTTGTAGTTGTAATTGCAGTTGTAAGCCGCGTAGTACGCGCCGCACACAGTCGTCTGGCGGGAGAGGCAAGCAGGGCAAAGCAGTGGGCAAGGCAAAGCAGAGCATGCAAGCAGTGAAGAGCACGATGGAGGTGAGCCACTGGCATTCAACTCTCTCCGGCCACCCCCGCACCCGCACCCGCACCCGCATCCCGCCCCACCCACCTGTTCCCTGGCACTTTGCATATTTCTGTGAATGAAACCGCCGGATAGTTTGTAAAAGGCAGAGCGGGAGAGCTCTTTGTTGGGCGGCAGAGGCGGCCACTCGCAGGGATTAAGATGCAGCGATCGCTCCATGGGAACCCCTCTCCAGCGACCGGGGAGGGGGGAGCGGGGTCGGGATTACCAAGCCAACTCCGTCTTTAAATCCGACAGCAAAAATGGAAGCGAAACCCTGACAACAGAACCAAAGAAAGAAAACCAAACAAAAAAGAAAAACAATTAGGGCCTGTTAACGGGAATGTTGACGATGCAAACACACACGGCACGCCCTCAACGCCCACACACACACACACACATGCATATATGTATGCATGTATACTTAGGCGCATGCATAAATAAATTTAGAAAAGTTAATTGAAACAAGAAAGGAAGACTGACTGTCTTTCGGGGTACCGAGACTTTGATACCCTTGCAGATCCTACTATATGGATACACTCGTGGCATTACAGGATACAGGATTACAGGATTACAGGATTTAATGAAATCATCTTAAATGGTAAATATATTTTTTAATTGCTTGAATTTGTATGTTCATATATTACAGGACGTCCAGCAGTTGGAAGTCGAAGGTGCAGAGGCTAGAATTGGGGCACAATTGAATATTCTCGTCAAGGGCGGCGAAACCCTCGAAAAGAATAATTCAATTCCATGCAAACAACAAAAAGAAGAGATACTATCAAAAGGGAACAGCATTTCCACACAAATACAATCGACTGCCTTATTTATGTGTCTAGCTTCCTTAGCATTGAAGAGATATGGCCGCACTATTAAGGCCACACAACTGTCGATGGAGTAAATAAGATATAGTCTTAGAATTCTATAAAATCATTTCGAACTGAAGCTTTAAAAGGCTTGAAGTTAATTGAGGGACAGAGAGACTATTATGGATTGATATTCATTGATATCATGGATTGATTCGTGCTTCCTTGGAGTAACCACCCTTAAAAGCTAAGCCACACTGCCAGAGATAGAGAGAGAGAGAGAGAGAGAAAGGAGAAAGGAGAGAAAAAGAGAGAAAGAGAATTTCCTATCCGTTCAAGGCCAATGAGTGCCACAGCTAGTATCATATAAAAATGGTGACATTTTCTCCCGCCTGTGGCCTAATATAAAACGAAATAAAGTCGAATGGCATTAATTGATTCAGGATTTGGCCAACATGGAGAGTGAGACTCTTTTGACACACTGTGTCTGTGTTTGTGTCTGTGTCTGTGTCTGTGTATATGGAGATCTCTTCCGCATTCCGCATTCCGCATTCTGTTTTTCGCATTCCGTTTTCCGTGTACTTAGGCACAGAACCAGACGGAGAACCCACCAATCAGCTTTGACTGCTGCTCGATGTACACACAACATATTTGCTTTTCAATTTGCATTTTTAAAATGGCCCATAAAAGTGTTATAAAGCCTTAATGATACGGCCAAAAACCCAGTTGATTGCCTTTGAAAACTTGCATAAAAAAGAAAACCCATTTCAAAACAGGTAACTAATTGAAATTTTAAGAGACTTACTGCAAAGATGTTAATTGTCGTACGAGTAGTAGCCCAAGAAATTTGTTAAAGGCCGGCATGAAAACAAGGCTGAAAAGCTTTTTGGATTTGCCATAGCCTCCACTTTGCATGGATCGTGGTACCTACTTCTTTGTAGAGGAAGTGGCTCTGAATGCATGAATAATTGACTATGATTGATCACGAATCCATACGCTTAAGTTATGGCTGTGCTGGCGCTGAACGAATCCAATATACCCTGGTACGGACTGGGACTCCCGCTCGGAATGAGCCAAAAGCAAATGAGCTTGTGACTTGCGGCAAGGACAATGCGGCAATGGCGGCTGTGGCAGCGGCGGCGCTAGTTTTTCACGCGGATACGCAATGTGCCGCAGGCGGAGCCGGATGCGGACTGACTTTGAAAAAAACAAAAAGAAAAAAGAAGAAGAAATGCATGGGGCCGAAGCAGAACAAGAACAACAACAGCAGCAGAAGGGAGGAAAATGGTCGCAAGCAAATGAGCAGCAGCAGGGGCATGGGTAGCGGCAGCCAAAAAGGAGGCGGACTGGCTGACGGGGGCGTGGCCTGACAGGCAGCTTAATTAAGATTGCAAGGATAATGTAGAAATTAAGACACAAAATACCAGAAGAAGAATGAGCAAAGTTTTTAAGTCGCGTCGTAAACTTTTCCGCCCAGACTCCATCATGCCATCCGGCAGCGGCACTCCGCCCGCTTGCCCCTGAGGGCGGGACGGGACGAGACGGGACGGGGAATGTAAGCAATATTTTACCAGGATTTTTCTGTGCAACTTCGATTAGGAAACGCCAGCAACAGTGCAGAAAACAAAACATTCGATGAATTTATTGAATTAAATCTTTCAAACACAATGCACAAAAATATTGCCACCGAGAAAAAGCCACCACAATAGAGAGATGCCAGGACCTACATATTCCATTTCCCCGTTTTGTTGCAGATGACAGAGTGGCAAGTGCTCTGCTTCCGGTGGGGGACTCTTAGTTGCACTCCCCCACCGACACCCACACCCACACCCACGCCCACGCCCACGCCCGAAATAAGCTCGGTTCTGCACTTCCTCTACAACATTGTCTTTTTGGCTCTGGCTCTGGCTCTGGCCCCAACTGAAAGTTGAGTCCTGCAACATAAACATAAACTAAATGCAATGCAATGCCAAAAACAAGAAAGGACGACCAGCTTCCGGGTAGCCGGAACTTTGATACCCTTGCAGATCTTCCTTGTTCCGGTAGGATATAGAGAGAATTTCTGCTTAGACAAACAGAATATGTAATACGAAAGCTAGCTTTCTTCTATCCACATGACATACATACAAATATATGTACATATGTTTGTATGTATAATTCTGATGCAATCCGTGATACACTCTCTCTGGGGAAGGGTATTTAAAAACAAAAGTCAAGTCCACTCGAGTGTCCAACTGTTTGCTCTGTCTCTCTTCTGCACTCTTCTGCTCTGGAACTGTGTGTGTGCGTGTCTGTGCTTGTTGATGCGTGTGCATGTGATCTGTTTGCTGCGATTAGAAAATGATTTACACCTCTGGCAGAAGCGTCGAGCCAGAGACAGAGACAGAGACAGAAACAGAGAGAGGGAATGGGAATGGGAAGGGGAAGGGGAATGGCATGGAAGGCCTGGCCGATGACTTGGCACCGGTCTGGACAACAGAAGAAGAAGATGCTACAGCTACAGCTACAGCTACAGCTACAGCTACAGCTGCAGTGGCACAGAGGACCAGGAGCAGCCACTGCATTCTCGTTCTATGCAATTACACATTTTATTATTATTAACGTTAATGTCGCCCCTGGGATGATGGCACTAACGCCTGCTCCCGGCTCCACATAAAAGGCGCTTATTAATAAGAAATTGCAATAAACTACAAGACATACCAACGCTCACCCTCCTCCACCTCCCTGCTCTCTGAAGCACACACTCCTATTGTGGTCATGAGCAGGATATGCTTCTAGTGCAAGGTAAGCCTCTCTCATCCGCTCTCTCTTTCTCCAGTACTTGGCCGAACGCCGCTCACTGAGGTGACCTTACCTTGCATGAGTGTGTACCCTGGCACAGGCACGCTGGCGCTTAGGCAAGCAACAGCTGGTGGTGAGAGAGAGAGAGAGAGAGAGCAGAAGCAGCAGAAACAGCTGGCAGAAGAAAGTCACCCGCTGCTACTGCCGTTCTCCTTCCAATTCCAATTCCCCCTCCCTTCGCCCCATTCCAGGCGCTGCACCTTCTCGTTGCTGGATTAAAAGTAAATCAAGCTGGCGACGTCGACGCTCCACATATTTTATTAAGCTGGAAACCAGTAATAAAGTAGGAAGCTCGCTGCCAGCTGCAGCTCGCTCTCACAAACCGTCGCACAGAAAGAGAGTGTGCTGCTCAAGAGTGCACTCTCTCAGTGGCGTTACATTCGCCTGTCCGCTGCACAGTGGAAGAAATAACGTAATTTTGAGCTGCCTTTGTAA